CTTGACTTTTTCAGTGCCAAGTATGTAAGAGATACGCGATGGAGCGTGGAGCTTTTAACATGCTTTCTTGCATAACGATTGTATGTGTGTCTTATAAGAAAGCTGTTTGTCGAAAGTGACTCCTAAACATTTCTTCTGTGCTTTCTGTGATGGTTGTATTTCTAACGTTTATCGATAAATTATTGCCCTTTTCACCAAAAATCATCAAGTGTCAGTTGTCAACATTTAGCTTTATGTAGTTATTTTGAAGCCACTCTGAAGAAATTACGGTTTCGTTTTCTAATCTATTGATTGCATTTTCACGATTGCTATCACAGGCATAGTAGTATCATCAGCATAGTTGCATATTCTGCTGTCCGTCGCAAACATTAGCAGGTCATTCAGGTAGATATTTAACAAGAAAGGCCCCAGAACAGATCCCTGTGGTTCACCAACGCTAGTCTCTCTCTCCACGTTCTGAAAGACCCATTACCCTTCACTCTCTGCTTTTGCCTATGCGATGCCTATTCAGATAGCTATGGACAAGCTGCGTGAACTAATGCAAGTGGTACAGCATCCTTAAAAGAACATTCAAAATACGAAGGAGACTACGAAAGAAAATGGAAGAAATCTCAATCTTTGAAACAAGTTCACCTATCACATATCACGGATGCATCGTCACTTGAAAGTCTAATTCGTCGTCACCTCAGGTTGCAATGTTAGCTCACGAATGGCAATATTCGTCGACATATCAGAGGATTTTCCGACGGTATACCAGATTTGCCGACGGTATGCCAGCTTTGCCGACGGTATACCAAGTTTGCGGACGGTAGACCAGATTTGCCGACAATGTTTTTTCAAGAGGATAATATCAAGTCACCCCAAACGTCAACATCTTCTACAACTTATCTTACACACAAACGCATCGCAAATAGAAACTCTCCTAAAACATGGCAGGGCAAAAGACATCGCAAGACCGTTCGGGTAAAGGTTTTCTATTTAATTATCAACTCCTTTCTTCTTTTGCAAAGCAATATATCTGAAAACATGTATTCGTTTCTTTTCTAGATATCTCTGAACAGTAGCATAGCCAGGGTGGTTAGATTTCGGGTCCAGAAAATATTCGGGGTCCATACCCTTCTGAACGCCAGAGAAAAGCCCTTTTTCGACAAGATTTTTGCCATTGGAGGGAGGGGGCGTCCGTCCCCTCTTGCCTCTCCCTCCCTACGCCACTGTTTCGAAATAGAAATTTAAATAATATTTCCTCTACGTATAATAATCTATTAATGAAACGAGTATATCCTAAATTTCAATCAACCAAAATAGTCAATTTATAGAAAAACTGCTCTTGTTCACCGAACATAAAAAGACTCCTAGTTTTTTCAATGCTAACAAAGTAATTTACATTCTTTAGAAAGCATGCCCATTTGAATCTGTTGTAAAGCTCGACAATGTTAGACTGAAAAATACACGAAAGCAAAGAATACGTTCAGGCAAATCAACCCATAGGTGACATCTTATTTTTAAATCAAATTTTCGTGAATGCACTTTCCTCTTCATGTAATTTTAGGTCGATGTTGAGTACTCTAGATTTTTAAGGCTGGCTTCGATAACATCGGTGTCTCGTATCTAATTTCTTATTCCAGAATATTTTCCATCAAAAACATGCTGGGGAGGGTTTTTTACAGTTCCAAACAGTAAAGCTTGTCAATATTTTTATTGTGTTCTAACGCTTCCAATACTTTACCCCGGATTCATGAGGCTCTGGTACCCAGGGTAGTTCAGTACTTATTTCTTATAGTGAGTCTCTTAAAAAAATGAGTGTAAAGGGCGAAAGAGAAGACTAAATTTGTTTTAATAGAGACCAAAGGCTTTACTTGAAAAATAGGTTTCTTCCTGTAAGGCTAGCAAATCTTTCTTTTATTTCTTCAGTTTACATCTAGCAGCACCCCGGGAAACAACGTTTGGAGAAACAAAAATTAAAGGACGTGACTGGCCATTGCCCCCTTGAGAGGCAGGAGATTCAGCTTACCATCCATGAATTCAGATTCATCGAAGATTTTCATTTCTAAAAAGTTTGCCAAGTGTGTAGTAAAATATTAACTGATGTAGGGAAAAAGATTTTGGAATGCCCTCATTGCATTATCAGCCAAAGGGCAGAACGTTGTAAGGAAGGAGCCTCAGTTGAGCTGTATATTGAAGTCGAAGGACAGTGCTTCTGTCTGGTGGCATTTTCGAATGCCGTAGAAGAATTGCTAAAAGGAACGAGGGTAGCGCTTCAATGTGAAGCACATCAGATAGAAGAGACATTGCTAGACTTAAAAAGATATAAAATTAGTGTATAACAAAATGAATAATATTGTAAATAGAATTTCGTTATATCCATGTTGTGCAGTGTATTTGTCCTCTTACTGCGATATTTTTTGCTCATATGATATATATTTTAACTTGCATAGCCAGCATTCGATTCTTCAAACGTGTACTTACGATCATTCCGTGTGCACCAGCCAGGACTGACAGAACTTTCGAGTATTTCGACCATAAACATGCAAATATAGGCCATCTTTTTTTGATGAGGCAAAGTGAATGCAATAAAATAAGTACCATATTGTATCCATTCGAAGGAGATTAGTCTTCAAAAAAAATAGGAAGATCGTATGGCTAAGGGAAATAAAATTGCTTCTGCAGACCATTCAAAAGTAAGGCAATGTCTGCGCCTGCCTACGAACTTTGATATTTGCTTCTAATTCATAATGAATATCTATTTACATCAGAACTGCATACAATGTTAGTCGGATTGTCTGGATAATTGCAGATCTCAGTGTCAATTGCCAAGTGGAAAATTTCATTTATAAATATGTCAAATAAGAGGGGTCCCAAGACTGAGCCTTGTGGTACAACTTTGTCTTTGTGTTTTTATTCACTAAATTACCTATTTAAACTGACCATATGTTTATTTTCTCTTAGGTAACAGTGCAGTGGCGGAAATTCAGGCTTTCATTTGGGGGGCCCAGGCCTACGATTTTCCGACAAGATAACATCACGGACCATGTATAATTCCAAAGAAACTGTACATTTTGAAAAAAAAATTGTTGATTTTTTGACGGGACTCTTTAGAAATCTTTGCTGAACACGCCATAATTAAGTAGCAAGAAGAACAATCCATTTATGATTTTTGATATCAAGATTGATATCTCATCTAAGACAATTGATGATACAAGAGGTAGACCGATAACACTTTTGACAAGTCGTACGTCCATTTTATGCATTTTATCTTGTTTTTGTCAGTGAGAAATACGTTTGAAAATAACTTTTGTTCAGAAGAATCCGATAGAAATTTTGGCTGATCTTTACAGAATTGAAATTAAATATATAATTCACAAGCAGTTTTGATTTTGGTCATATATTGTTTGATTGATTACTTGGTAATGGTTTATATTTTATCAGCTATGCTATGTTCAAATTTTGCAAAAATGGCACAGATAGGTTATAGAGGCCCCTGGGGTAAAAAAGAAAACGTGGATCTTCTGCGAGCGAAGCGAGCAGAAAATTTGGCAATTACGCCCCTTAGATCAGCTTAAAATTCCTTTTCAGAACGATTTCTTGGAGTAATTTCGACACGTTAAACGGTTGTAAATTATCCGACGAAAGCCCGAATTTTCCGACGACGTCGCTGATTGGGGGGGCCCGAGCCCCCCAAAGTCCCATAATTTCCGCCACTGTAACAGTTAGTGAGCTTAAGCACCTCTTCTTACACCGCATGCATGAAGTTTAGCCATAGTAAATCATACTCAAGGCAATCAATTGCCTAAGCAAGATTCATAAAAAGCTCCCCTGCATAACCTTTTGATCGAAAGACTCACTGCTATTTTTCGGTAAGTCTCATAATTGCATCAGTAGTGGCGCCAGGGGAGGGCTAGGGGGGCTACAGCCCATCCGTCGGAAGCATCTAGCCCCTCTATCGGAGGAAATTTTGGGTTATTGTCGGAGCAAACTTGACAAAAATTTCATATTTAAGTCATTTTGGCCCCCTTGTCGGAAGCTCAAACCCCTCTGTCGGAAGATTTCTGGCGCCACCTCTGAATTGCATGTTGTGAGCTATATCCTTTGCGAAAGCCAGAAAGACATATTAGGTTCAATAAAGGTTGTTTCATCTTGCATGTTTCTCCCATGTTTCTTGCTTGGCTAGCATAGCACTCCCCTCAAATTGGCTGCACAAAAAATTAAAACAGTATACTAGTTTCTTGAAATAGAAAAACCGTATATAAATTCAACATAAAAATATAATAAGTATATTCAGTTCCGAATAACGTATTCACCCTTAACGTTGCAATCAGTGGCGTAACAGAGACACTCGGGGCCCTTAGGAATTTACTAAGATGGGGCCCTTATTTAGGGACTGCGAAGTGAAGTGAGCTCTACGGGGCAAAGGGGTTCGGGGTAATGGGAAAATGTTTAAAATCGTGCGCTTTAGAACCTCGAAAAATGCACGTGACGTGGTAAAGAAAATGTTTACATATGAAAAAACCAACAGTAAATTAAGTGTTCTTGCTCACAACGTGAGCTTTTCTACGTGCATTAACGTTGGCAAAATTCTTTATAAGCTTTGTTTTGTTAATTTTCTTTGCTTCCTTGTTCTCAATTGACAAAGTTGCTAGGTCGTCAAGTCTCTCCTGTGACATTGTAGGTCTTAGAAATGTCTTTATCAGTTTCAACTTTCAAAATGATCTTTCTGCCGATGTAACAGTTACTGGCAAAGTGATGAAAAGTGTTAATAGCTTGTACATTTCTGGAAAGGATGAACTAATACGGCTCTGAAGCACGAGGTTATTAACTTCTAGAACAGTTTTCTTGACTGCAATCTCCTTTCTGAATTCGGTTGCAAATTATCTCATCTCAGAATCTAATTCATCTGTAAAGTCATTTGGATATTTCTCACGAATTACTCGTACTGCATTTTCAAGCATGTCAGGACTCAGTGTTGCCAGGTTGTTGGGGGTAGAGACAGCTGAATAATGACGTCACCATTGCTTGTCCTTGAACCTTTCTGTCAGTTGCACCAATGCTGTATCAACAGTCTTGTAGAAAACGTTTATCTTAAAACTTTGCTCAGGATCCATCAGTGTTCCATCAACAACAAGTTCATATGATTCATATCTTGCCTTCCGACCCCTTTTTTGTTGAAACTCTAGCGATCCATCCCAAGATTTTGCAAGTGCTGTGGCAGTCAGCATTATAGACTGCCATGATTCTCGAAGATATTGGAGCTCCGAGAGTACAATATTAAGGTGTCTAGAGGCAACCGACAAGTCAATCCTAGGGGACTGAAGCTCCTTCGATACTGCATTGACTGATCTTGGTATTCTCTCCCAGAATACAAGGAGAATAATAAATTCCAGTGTGTCAATATTTTTCTTTAGACTCTTTGCGTTGTCACGCTCATTCTTGTTGTTGGATGTTAAGATGAGTCGCGTCAGAAGCCTCATTATCTGGGGATACTTGTCACGCACAGCTCGCACTGCATCAATGCGAGAGCTCCAACGTGTCGTACATAACTTTTTTAGTGTCAGTAATCCTTTCCCAGCTTCGATTCCAAGATCTCTCCATCTATTCAAGGAAGAGCCAAAAAAACTGAAAATAACTCGAAGGCTAGTAAAAAAGTTTTCACTCATAACGTGTGATTGCCCACCTAATAACAACGGTTGATTGGTCGACTCTGGTAATATCACTGGTGGAATCCAAGATTATACTCCAGAATGGTGCGGAATTAATATTTTCTACCAAAGTCGAGGATACAGTATTTGCAAGCAAGTGAATCAGCTTATTTTGGATCTTAACGCTAAGGTATTTTGTTGCTCTGCCTGGAAGAGATATAACTTCTGCTAGAAATTCATCATATTCAGCCATAAGAGAGACCAATGCCAAGAAGTTCCCACCTTCACACACATTATCATGAACCTGCTCTCTGTGCCCTCTGAATGCCAAGGTCAAAGTTGTCATTGTCAGTATAATTGAAATAAGCCATTGAAGAATTATAGCGAATAAACAAAACAAAACAGAATGGATGAATCCAGTGTTGTGTTAGCAACACTGTTTAGTAAGAACTTTTGGGATGGCTGTAGGAAACCTTGTCAACATGGTAAAAAAGCACACAATACGAAAAATTTGATGGGGGCCCCTTTTGGGCCCTTTTTGGTCGGGGGCCCTTAGTTCTCGAACTAAGGTCGCCTAAACTGCGTTACACCACTGGTTGCAATACACCTTCCAGTTTAACTTTTTGGTAACGCCAAAACTTGAAGATCTCACGAAATAGCGGCATACAAGGCTCGAAATGGGTAAACTTGGAATCTGAACAAGGAATGTTTTGGATGGATATTTTTGAGAAATTGATGATCGGGGGTATGTATATTCCGGACTTGAGAGTAGGCAGATTCATGAAAACAGGCTCAAATATTTCCGTGTAAGTTTTCTTTGGTGTCTAGGAAACGGCAGAGCTCAGTATGCTGTGCAGTGGGTTGTGGTATTGTGGAGGAGAATGGAAGGATTATTTGGTATTTGGAGATAGATTACAAAGAACTGATAATATGGTTCCGGGAGTTGTGGTATGATCAAATTAAGAGATGATGCTTCGAATTAAGTCTGCATCTCCGCGAATTGAAGATTCTCTGTGGACTACTTTGTCTCTCGTATGTTTGAAGACAGCAAATAGTTCGAGCCTACTTTTTTGAAAGTGGCAAGGGATCAAAACATCAGAGACTATTATTCAGGTTCCTTAGGCTATTAATTGTGTTTATTCAAAGCAGAGTGCCGGAGGTACATATAGGTAAAGTATAATTTCCTTTTATTAACAACATTCCTCTTCTTTGTGGTTCGTCAAATATTTATGCAAAAATCTTTACAACTTGTCACCGTTAGAGAGCGAGTGTAGACATCAGGCTTCTTCATATCAATGTGTAATTTTAAAATCCAGTCCAAGATGTCAAACATTCTCTGCGTTTACTTTTTTTCGCCATACGCTTCAATATTTACAATCAGAAAGCGAGGTGCTAAGGTTCTCAGCAGACAAAACACTTTTATCTTCAATTATTACTAATTTTGGGATTACCAGGGTCTTCTAAATATGATAACTAGGGGGTACTTAACCTCTTTTTATCCCAACTGAGATTTATTTGTTTAAAACAATAGACTATAGACAGCTTTTTATAAAAGCTTTATCTTTTTCCAAAAACCCCTCTCCAGCTGAAGTTGCTAAGAAAAGTTTATGACTTTCATATTTTTATACAAAAAAACCCAACACCCATTTACAGGTCAAATATCAAATTGAACAAACAATTGACCATTTGGCAGCTTTTATAGAAATTGTTGTGAAATTACATGTCATTAGCTAAATCGAATATCATTGACATTTGTTTTTGGATTATCATTGCATGATGGTTCTGTCCATCAAATATATTGTGTTATTATTTTCCAGACACCAGGCCTTGCAAGGAGAGATACTCAAGCCCAATCAAGTGCCTCAACATGCACATAGAAAACTCTAGGAGCTTGGTTGATTGAGTATCCCATATAAAAAGTAGACAAACCTGTTTTGTACAGTTTCATATTCACAAAAAACTCTCCAAACCTTCAATCATCATAAGATCTTTTTGGCCTACAAAACCTAAGTCATTCTTATTCAATTTTAAACATGGTTCAAAAGTTATCAATCTGGAAATTCAAATACCTTAATTTGCGCAGTGTAAGCACAAATTAATTTATTGGTCCAAATAACATGGAACCTGTGTGAGGAAAAATTTTTTCACAGGAAAAATTGTACAATCTTTGAGGTGCACCTTTTTGCTAAGGTTTGTAAAGCCTTGACCATTGATGAAAGTTTTGCCTAGAATGATTTGCTGCTAGAGAACTAGTTAATTATGTCACTGGTCCCCTGAGTTGTAAATACTTCTTCTGGTTCTAAATTATGTGATTGGTTTACTCAAATAGTCACCAAAGTCCCCATCCAAAGCAGACAAGTGATTTGCCCCAAAGGAGACAAGTGATTTGCTTTTACTTTAAAATGGTCCTGTTTATGAGGTCTGGAGTATATATCTACCTTTGTAAATATTTTGAAGCTTTTGTATCTTTGTATTAATGATTTACTTATTAAGTTTTTTTATTAGGTTTCTGTATTGTTCCAGTAAGGTAATTTGATTGTGATCTCTGAATTTTTTTAGGATTTAATATTTGTGACTCTGGATATTTATGTCCTGCATATCCAAATATCCAAAAATGATTTTTGCCACTGTAATGGTAAAACCACAGCATATTAAGCTGCCTTTCTTCTGTCTCTCAATCCACTTTGGCTTCCTATGTGCTCAATGTTTAGTAGTATATATAGAGTATTTGCTCATCTAGGTCCAGACATAATATTAATTCTTGGTGGATTAGAGAGGGTTGAGAAAACTATTATTTCCTGTTAAATTGTCTGTTATGAAAAGTGTTATAAGAAATATGGAATAAAGAGGACATAATTTTTTTATTTAAAGCTTTATAGCATCCTACCTTATATGCAGAGTTACCTTAGATGTCCATCAAAATGACTTTCATCTGACTCCCGGGTCCTTTTCTCTCCCACCACCCTAGAATAAAATTAATTGGTTTGTAGATATCTATGTCAAAAGCATTGCTCCCACCTGCAAGGGGCATACTGGAATAGCCAGACCCAATGACCCTAGGACCCCTATGACCCCAAGGACCCCCATGACCCCTAGGACCCCTAGGACCCCTATGACTCCTATGATCTTAAACTATGACTAACCAAAAAGTGCCCTTAACTTCTACATGATTTAAAGAGTGTAGTTCCCAGTGGCTTTGCAATTCAAATAATTTCAAGAAAACCTTTTTAAATATAAGGCTTTACAAAAGCAAACATTTGAGTATACTAGAGCGTTTCCAATTGCCCTATTTTGATCCGCAACTGGGTATATGTATTTCCTAGCATAGAGTTTTTTATCTATGTTCTGACATTTTGTACTCTGAAGAATGTCAGATTAAAAGCTTTCAATTAGTATACTCAAATGTTTTCTTTTTTTCAAAGCCTTTTTTAAATTTTCTACCACAAAAAGATCATTTGAAAACCTCTTTTTGATTTCTCACAGCTGTTGTGTGGCTGCATATTACCTGCTTAGCTATTTTTTGAGTAAATAAAATGAAACAAAATTAAAGATAACTTCAGTGAATATTTCATAAAAACTTCTCCCAATATGGCAATTTTTCTCCTTAAGGCATAGTTTGTAATTCTACAACCAAAAACTGTTTTGCTCAATTGATATTTTTAACTATGTTTTTTTATGGCATCAGAGAGATTTTCAAGATCTTTCCACAAAAATTTGCTATAAATTATGCCTATTTTGCCCAATTCATGCATGTAAGTTTTTGAATTTGCCCAGATTTTTAACAAGGTGGTGCAATACTTTTGAGAGAGGGTAGGGTACAAAAATTAAAATGGTGATTTCTTTTTTTACGTATCAATACTTTGTAGTAAACCAACTTTGTTTAATAGGGATGTCAGAACCAAGGGACATCAAGGATTCCCTGCAACTTTTCTTAGACGTGCCCTATGAGACCTTTGAAAAAGTGCCACATTTTCTGTAACATATTTCCCCTTTATACTTGTGCCCTGTCAACTTTTAAATGCTTCTGACCTCAGGGGGCTCGTTTGAAATTTTTTATGTACAGGGTACAGGGGCTCCATCTAATATTTAAGGATAAAAATTTTCCTTTTGATCTGATAATTTTCAGTACCTGATTTAACAGTATACCATATTGAAAACTGGAATAAAAGAACATATGTGTTTAAACTTATTATTATAGGAAACAGTGAAAATAGCTCTGACTAGTGGGCCCTTATGTTCTCAGCAATGAGGTTTTGTATTTTGATATTTTTGGGTCTTATCAACACTTTTTAGCTAATAATCATGTGTCTGTTGAATTTGTTGTGATACTTTTGGATGAATTTTGATAAATGCAGATGCAGTTTGTAAGTAAAGATTTTGCGTGACTCCTCTGGGCTTCTGAAATCTATGTTGTGTCAAAAGTTAGTGTGAAGGGGTGTGGCGAAATTAAGAATTAATGTTAGTGTTCAAGATTTCTGTCAGACATTGTAACTGTTTATCATTGATGTCAGCCTTCTTGGCAAAAAAATTTACAAATGGAATGGAGGCATGGATAGTTGATTGCTTCCTGTTTATGGTTGATTAAGAAGTTTGATGTGGAAACCCACAGGTCTTGTCATAGCCACTACCATAGTGATCAAGGTTAGTATTACATTTATTACAGAAAAGTGTGAATGGGAAAACCAACTGCTGACTTGGATGTCTTCGAAAAAAGTGACTCAAGTGAGAAATCGATTGCTAGATCCACTGCAGGGGAGCTTGCTTTGCAATGATGCAGATTGTTGGAATCTTGTGCCTTTGTTTTTCATTTGTCGCAATCCGGGCAGCTAGCTACGAAATCACAAGCAAAGTACCTGGAAATGTGACAATCGGTGGCTTGGTACCTATTCATCCACTTGGAGCTCAGGGACAGTGTAATCTCACAAGTTTTGAAGGTGCTGCTGGAATGCTTCGTCTAGAAGCGATGATTTACACTGTTAAAGAAGTGAGAAGAATTATGATTTTTTCCATTTTAATTTCTGTCTAAGTTTAAAATGTTTAATTTAAACAGTCATGGTGATCCTGCATGAATTTACTAATGACCACACAGGCGTTTGAAGAGATTTCAAATGAAGTCGCATATTGATGAACAAGTGGTGTGCAAGGAAAGATAAGATACTAAAATATTGATTTTTTTTAATTTCTCGCAACTATTAATGTTTAAGTTGAGCCAATGTCGCTCGCCCGTTCAGTTGAAACAACCTAATTTTGTAGGAAAATCTGAATGCAGGCATATCGTTTCGTGCCGCTTAGCCGTGACACTTTAGTGGCTAGAAAAGAAACCCACTTGATAATGAGTAAAGAAGAAAACAAATCCACTTGATAATGAGTAAAAAAAGAAAAGAAATCCACTTGGTTTCTCTTCTGCCACTTGATAATGTGTACATGCTTGAAACGTCATGTTTTTGACAATCAAACTAATTAATTACATTCTGGTTTTCTCAATTTATTTGCTAGCTATATTATCTACGTCTTTATGTCGAGGTTCCTATCAAAAAATTTTATTATTAAAACTCGTTTTAATTTCTTACACTGTGTATCTTGCTATGAAGTTTTTATTTGAGTAGCATTCAATCTTGTGATCACTTTGATGTAAAATGGACAGCAAAAGCTTTACATTTTTTGAATCCTCACATCATTTATTTTTAGCGTTTTGTTGTTGTAATTTTCAGCCCCCTCTCTACAGAAGAATTATCTTTTGAGATCTTTTACTGTGATAGGCAGCTAGAAATTAGGATCTGTCTGTTATTTTGATTCATAGATTAACAATAACAAGACGTTCCATCCCGTCAATCTTGGCCTAGAAGTCAGAGACAGCTGCAATATTGAAGCAAAAGCTTTGGAAGAGTCTCTCAATTTCGTCATAGACAAAGTGCCAGACGTCTGCCAAGGAAACCACAGCAACCAAACAGGCAAGTCTGGAAAGCTAGCCGCAGTGGTGGGTGCCACAAAAAGCTCCGTCACTGCACAAGTAGCCAAGCTGCTCCGACTGTTCAAAATTCCCCAGGTTTGTTTATTTGTTAATTTGTCTATTAGTCGTCTTGTGACGCCACAACATTCCTATTTCAGTTTTGTGTTTACAATGAAAAGTTGAACCCCTGTTCTAAAGGTGAGGAAAAAAAGTCCCTTTTTAATTTTCGGTGCCTTTTTAAAACCAATCGAGAAAGTTTTCGAGGAAAACCACACTCGATATAATTCATCAAAGGCAGGGCTGTCACTAGCTATCGTACTTCAGATTTGGGAGGAAGAATTAGCAGACACAATTATCGAGTTCTGGAGTATCAATAAGAACCAACACCTCCGTGTCATTTTTTGGGAAACAAACGAAGTGTTCTTAGTTTCTTGCAACAACATTTGAACTGAGCTCACAGAGATCCTCGTCTTCGTCAAGACCAATCCTTTGCTCAGGTGTTTGTTGTACTCCAGTTTACTTCAATTGCTAGAATGGCCTAATTAAGTTCTTATTATGTCAGTCTTCTTTCTTAGATCTCGTACGCATCCACAAGTGAAGAACTGAGTGACAAAACCAAATACAACTTCCTTTTGCGCACTGTTCCTTCGGATAAGTACCAAGCACGCGCTATGGCAGATTTTGTGGCTGAAAAGCTCAAGTGGAAGGCCGTTTACGGTCTTTATGAAGAGGGAACGTACGGCGAGAATGGTATGGAGAAATTCAAGAATGAAGCAAAGAGACGTGGTGTTTGTGTGGTTGATAGTAAAGCAGTGAAAAGAGACAACGACCTGCCTGCCAGATTGAAGAGTATTCTGGATCATTTCCTTAAGGAAAGTGATGTTATTGGAGTTGTGTTATTTTGTCATCAGGAGGTTATCAACGAGTTACTTAGTGTCTTGAGACAAGATAAAAATTTACGAAATCGCTTTTATTGGGTAGGTTCAGACAGCTGGGGGCTCTACACTGGCTCATACAAAAACCTTGAAATCAACGTAACGGTATTCTCCCTGCATGATCATTCCAAGCAGCTTCTTGGTTTCAAGGATTATTATAGAAAACTTGAACCAGGTGAAAATTCACTAAACCCTTGGTTTGACAAGTTTTGGTGCTGGAAATGTCAACAGGAGGTGAAAAAGAACCCAAAATATACAGAGAAGGCCAAAAACCTTTGTCCATGTGAGGGCCTGCGGTATTTGGGACATAAAACTGGAAAGGAAGATGACGAGAATTTAAGGTTTGAATTTTGCGCGAATAACGATACGTGTTTTCACGATGACAAGGTAGCTTATGTAATCGACGCCCTCTATGCTATCGCTTATGCATTGAAAAATCTTTATAGTGAAAAATGCCCTAACGTGACCGACAACAATGCTTTGTGTATCCGAAACCTGAAAATTGAGACAACAGAGTTTTTTGATTCGTACCTAAAAAAGGTAGTATTCCAGGGTGTGACGGGACATGTTTCGTTTAACGAGAGCGAGCTCAAAGGAGTTTATGATATTAGCAATTTGATAAGCGGGAGTTTTGAGACAGTGGGGATCTGGAAGGCAGAGAATGGCGGCAGTCTAGTCATGAATGGTCGCTGGAAGCAGGCAGAGATTCGATCCCAGTGTGCAAAGAACTGCTCAGCCGGAAGCGTCAGGAAGACGCGCGGAGGTAAGATTTGCTGTTGGGATTGCATAAGGTGTGCGAAAACTCAAAAAGTTGTCAGCCTTTACCGCTGTCAGTCCTGTGGAAGTGGGTACAGATCAAACGAGACTTTTGATGGCTGCGTCAAAATTCCCGAGGTTCATTGGGATCACGGTTGGCTGGTAGCAATCGCCTTCCTAGCGTCAGTTGGATGTGGCCTAACTTTTTTTGTGTTTGTTGTGTTTTTTCGTTTTCGCAACACCCCAGTCATTATGGCCGCCAGTAGGGAGTTATCGTACACGCTTTTGCTTGGCATTACCTTATGCTATTCTCTGACCTTTTTCATGGCAGCTTGGCCCAGTACACTGACATGTGGAGTCCTTCGCTTTGGCACTGGGTTTTCAATGAGTTTGTGCTACGCTGCGCTGCTTGTCAAAACCAGCCGCATTGCTCGTATTTTCTCAGGAAAACCAGATCCGCTGTTTATAACCCCCAAGTGGCAACTCGTATTGACCGGGATGCTTGTTATGCCGCAAGTTTTGATTGGTGTTGTTGGATTGATGATAAAGAGGCCTAAAGTTGAAAAGGATTACAAGTCAATCACTGAAACAGTTGTACGTTGCAGTGCTGATACAAATGATCTAATTGTTTCCATTTCCTACAATATTTTGTTGATAGTTTTGTGTACAGTTTATGCCTTCCGCACTCGCAAGGTTCCAGAAAACTTTAACGAGGCAAGGTTTATCGGTTTTGTCATGTACACAGCCTGTGTTATTTGGCTTGCCTTTCTACCACTGTTCTACGGGTCTAGCTACGAGTACCGCGGAGTTTCTCTCTGTCTCAATCTCATCCTCAATGCAACAACCATTCTTTTTGGACTCTTTGGCATCAAGATGTACATTGTTTTGCTCAGGCCAGAAAAGAACACGAGAGCTAATTCGAAAGCGAGATCATTCTCGTTTCCATCAGACTCAAATGGTCACGACAAGGAGAATTCATTGCAAGGCAAGTGCCACTTATTTGTTGTCGTTTGTCGTGTAAATCATGTTTTATTTTCGTTTTTAACGGTACGTGAAAGTTTTTACGCTGAACCATTTCAAGCGAAAAACAATTTTCAAAGTTATCAAATTCTAATTTTTTCTCATCTAATGAATTGAATGTATTCTTTCTTTTTCACATATTCAATACCTTTTCGTCGGATGAAATTATTTGACTCTTTTTGGAAAATTTTCAAGCTTAAACATTTATAACAGCAAGTCTCCGTCTGGTTAACGTCTGGTAAACATTCGCCAAGTTGATTCACCAAGAATAGACGTTCGAATTTACTGTCATTTTGACGCGAGAACATTGGACATTTTTTTCGTGAAAAAAGAGTTTAGTACACCTCGAAAACAAAATTTGTTTGTATTCGTATCTAGCATTGGGTTGTAAAATGAGATCGAGTAATGCAAGTGCTGTTTCAGTATAGAGGAAAAGGACTCACGTCACAGAGCTTTTAGGTTTGATCTTATGAACTGAAATGACGTTGCTAATGTATCTTTTCAACAATTGAAAGAAATAGCTCCAATCTACTTTAAAATGGTCTAGGTAAAATGGTTATTGTGTTGCCACGAGAGCACAGACGTGTTATTTACCAAGTAACTGTAATTTTGTCTTGGTTCTAAAATTTGTCTAAAAACAGCGGTGATTTTCAAGTGAAAAGCAGGCTTTTTACTGGCCATTGTGTTGCAGATTAAATTAAGTTTCTCATCAATTTATTTTTATCCGTGTTCTTTCAAACTGTTTGGACTGAAATTCAATACTAAAATGTACTTTATGAAGTTCACGAGTTAAGTTTCTCTATGAATTTTTAAGGCATTTTGATTAGCATTTTGAGTAGCGCCGTAATTTGCATCAAATGTCGTTTTCAGCAGACGCCTTTGCGTACACTTAAAGTTATCAAGCAAGCTTCTACGAAGCAAAATTTGACTGTTTAGTTTGTAAATGTAATCTTTTTTATTTTGCATTGTTTTTAGAAGCCAAAGAAAACCGTATTAAGCCTGGAAAGCGCCACCGCAGAAACAACAGCAGCTCAACAATATCAAGTGGATATCTCGTAAACTACGCAACAGATGGACCCTACATCTCCCGTGGCTCGAATGCAAGTTTGTCTGCTTTGGGGACGCGAGACATTTCATTCAACTGATATTGAAGTTGCTGTCCATAAAGCAAAGATATATTCTGTTTCTACCTTTCTCAATGTTTCATCCCGAGCGAGTGGCGTTGAGCTGTAGTAGTAAGCCATATATTTTGGTATGTTCTTGACTATAAGCATTAATAAGCAATAGCATTAGGTAATAGCGGTGGAGAGTTAAAAGAAGAAGCTGCCAGTTTTGAGCAATAATATTAAGCAATGTAATGAACCGATCATTGCACAGGAAATAGGTTTAGGAATTAGGAAAAGAACGTCAATACACAGGGCATTAGCATTTGATAATATTGCTAGGCAATAGCATTGATCGTTATTATCAAGTGACAGTTTTTGGCAACAGCAGTAAGCCACCACAGTGAGTAGATGGTATACTAAACAATAGCATTGAGTGATAATATTAGGGGAATATTACACAGAGCAATAGCATTTGGTAATATTACTAGGCAATAGCATTGATCGTTATTATCAAGTGACAGTTTTTAGCAACAGCAGTAAGCCGTCACAGTGAGTAGATGGTATACTAAACAATAGCATTGAGTGATAATATTTGGGGAATATTACCAAAAGCAATAGCAATAGACAATGATTTTGAACGATTATCGCTCAGGATTTGGCAAAAAAAGTGTGATAATAGCACCGAGCGTTGAGTAGTTATACTGAGTAGTTATAGAAAGTGATATTGATCAACTGTGTTTCGCAATAGCTGCTCCTCGTAGATGGAGTGTGCAGTTTTGAAAGCACGTCTTCAGGGCCTACTCAACCTTCCCAAAGATATCGTATAAAGTAGATGTCCAAGCAGATACTTGACGATAAAGGTCCTTTGAACGGGGTTTTTAATGCGACTGAATGTAGATCAGAATCTACTTTTCAGGTACAAAAATATAACTGGTATCTTGGTTTCCGTTTTCAGTTGTCAAAGGATAAAATCACGTGTATTATGTATAGATTTCGCATATTTTCGTAGAGCTCTTTCTAAGAGTTTAATATATTTGATTGGTAGAGTCAACGGGTAACATAAAATACGTAGTGCTGTCACAGTGGTAGACTTTCGGTTTAGTGAGCACGATAAAATTATTTTTAGGCTTTTTGAAAACCTCACTGTGATGTCACCCTTTCATAGTGTTGGTTTTTTATTATTTTTTTAAATCCTGCGTTTATTTTTGACTTGGTTTCACTAGAAACTTGGTTGGTTTATTCTCCGTATTTTATTTGCAAAAAATATGATCTTTTTATGTTTTTAATCATGACAAATTGTTTGAATAACATATTCAAACTTTCAATCTTTAAAAAGTGAACCCATTCTTTTCTTACATTGTTTTTTATTGTTTTTATTATATCTATATTTCTTTATAAATATGTAATATATTTCTATTGATTCATATTTTTATGATTTCATGATGTTTCCAGTAATTTATCATCTTTTCTTAATATATTTTTCATGTTACAAAGCATAGTTATCGGATGATTTTTTAAAACTTAAATTGATGTATATAATAAATGCAATATATATTTTTAAATGATTTAAAATGAATGCTTATTTTCACACGCTAGATTTGTTTAGATATCATAAAGAGATTGCTTTAAAGATTTTTGTTAAATATCAACGGGCTAGTAATATATTAAAGCATTTTCCTGGACAATGATTGCTCGATAATTTATACTTTAATTGTGAACTTTGATTTTCCATCGCGCCATACTGTTTATAATTTTATACAATGAAGCATGTAGATGTAGTCTGTCTTTATTTTCAAATAGTTTCTTGAAGAACGCAACAACAGAGTATTTTTTATATTGATATTACAAAGAAAGAGGATTATTTAACAAGGTGAAAGGGTTTAGAAGACACTGCTGCTCGAGCAATGGGTATAATGTCTTGGATCTCTGATGGATCTCATTTAGGAGCTTTAAATAACTTGTCTTTCCAGTCCGAACTGTTCTCTTTCTGTAGGTTGTTTGAAACAATTATTCCGAAATCAGAAATGAAAATGAATTATAGTAGCAGACAAATCAACCATCGTTAATCGAAATAAGGAAGGTTGTGTAGTTTTTAAAACAACCAGACATAGCTAAAAATTTTGTAACTATAATTGTCAAAATTAAGAAAAATATAGCCGAAGGGAGTTGATGTCGCTGGCATAATTCTTCCCAGAGCCGAAATTCTAATGTGATATTTTTTGGTCTATGAATAAAATCAGCACATCAAACAGCAAAGTAAAATATGATTTGTCAAAACCTTGGCTTTTTGGGGTTCCACAATAATCTCATCCAATTGATACGCGTATGCTATATCCTGTGTCGGCCTATTCTGAGCTTAAATCCCTGAAATTTTTGTAGCATTCACCGGAGCTGTATGTTGACCGCAGCAGGCAGTAGGTTGCTGATGTCCATTTTCTTTGAATAAGACACCTAGCACAAATTTTTGTAAAATTTACTCAGTAATTATGTTTGAAAATAAAGCCTAAGAAAATTTTTATGAACAATGCGAACAAATTAGGTGCTTTATTGTCAATTTTTTTCTTCTTCAAATAAAATCGGTCGTGGGAATACAGTTAAATTATGGTTGGGATGCCACGGCTCGTCAATGCACCACCATGGTTACTAAAAGTTTTGACAATTGGAAGAATCTAAGCTGAAACTGTTGCTATTCACAAGCGAAAAGTGTTCTTGAGCTGGAGACAACGCAGAACGCTGAATTCAAAATTGGAAATAACCGACGGGGCTTCTGGATAAAAGACTTGTTTGTGAGTAAGGATCTTGGCAAGTAGAAAGTGTATTGATTCCACCTTCTGTTGAGACTTTTTGCATGTTATTTCATTACCTGTCCTCAATCTTAATAAAAAAGTTGCAAATTACCATTTTCATGACCTTTATATCGAATAGATCTCAATTGCTCTACGTAAAACGTTATTTTATTAAAAGCAGTGGAAATTGCTAAAAGCTTTTTGATTTTGTCACCTTCTATCAAGTTTTCAAAATGCGGATTTTGTAAATGTCGAGAATGTTTCTCCGTCCTTTTTACAACAAGTGCTTTTTATCTACCCAGCTTTGTTTCAGAAATTCTTCAGTCCTTCGTGACTCTTATTCCAATGAATTATGCTTTTTTTTGCATTTAACAGCTTACGTTTGCTTGACTTATTTACAGAATATTTAATGTTTGAAAACCGTTGGAACGACTTTTACTCTAATCTTATAGAAGTACGACCTGACCGTCTTGATTTGCAAGCATGATGAAATTGGTAGCATTCTGTATGGTATTTGCCTGCAGCAGTTTGTATTGTGCGGGGAAATATCTCGATGGACGGCTTGGTATGTAACGGGCTATGCTCCAAACGTCATTATTCATTAATCTATCATTTATTCCTGGTACATTTTACTTACATTCATAGTTATTATATATTATATAGTACAGCACGCAATCTAGTATATTTATGGCTTGGTATGTAATTAAATAAAGATATCTTATTTGTTAACGCCAGTAATAGCTATGTGCCTACAAAATATAGATCCAAGGTCTTAATCATCTGTAAATTAAAAAGTTTGAAGGTTTAGCAAAACAAAATAATCTCAAGTTTTCAGTTCTCTCAAGATTTGTTCGAATCTGAGATCACTTTATCAAGTTATGTCAGAGCGCAAGTTAATTGTTGTTCTTGAAAGATTCTAAAATATTTCGATTTTTTTCTTTGCAGCTGAGACCAAAGTCCTCCCTCTGCAAGTAGATTGCCCGAGCCCGTATAAATACATCTATCTCGGGGGGATAACGTTTAACGGCACAGCAGTAAGTGACTCGTTGTCCTCCATGGCAAAAGACGAATGCGACCAGCAGTTAGAGGAACAGAAGAATAAAGGAGGCTCCATCGTTTCTTGCTTCCTTACATTTGGCAAGGCATTTGCCACACAAGACACGGGTATGGTCCGGACAGTATACAAATGCACAGTGTCTAAGCAAGACAATGCCCCCGGTGGTGCAGACTGGCTAAAGGGGTCCCGAAGGCGTTCACTAGAAGGTAAATTGTTTCAGAGTTTCAGAGGCCAATTTCTCCAAAACGCTTGAAAAATGCCATATTTAATATCTTAGCTGCATAAAGTAAATGAATTTGCTTCAAGTCCAGGCAATAATGAAATGCAATCTGCATTTATTGGTCCCGTTTTGCAGTTTTTAACTTTTTTATTTCATAGTTGCTGCCGATTTTTTAGCAATTATTTCAATAATTTTTCTAGCACTGAGGTTCACTTTGAAGTTTACATTTTTAGAGACCATTTATTGAGATGAATCTATTTTATAGAATTAATATATGTAATATTCTATCTATCAGAAAAATATAGCCATTTGAAATCTCCATAGTCACAAATGTCAAGAAATCTGTTATTCTATTTTCATTGTAGACTGCTGACTTGATCGTTTGAAGTGATATTGTAATTGTGTTTTTTTGCAGCCAAGCCAAATGGTCAAAACCAAATAACCTTTCGCTGTCCTGGTGTGAACGAAATTGTTGAGTTGGAGAAAATTTTCCAAGAAGGTGAAGAAATGACTGCTGGCTTTGAAAAAAGGAAACTTTATTTTCAAGAAGAGTGTTACAAACAAACTGTAAGCAAAATGGCCAAAGGAGAAAAGGTGAAAAGATGTTTAAAATTGGCCAGTTGATAAGTTTTAGGTTACGCATACATTTTAGGTTAAATTACCTATAAGGTTGAGCATAATTAAGATATTTTTACCTTCCCTTTTCTACTAAATGCTCTATAAACATCTACAAATCATAATGTAAGTTTTGATACCGCTAAATTTATTGATGGCATGAAAAAGCGGCGTAATTTTTTTTATTTCTGTGATCGTGCCGATAAATTATTGAACATGCTCAATGCCAATATCAGGAGGGTGACTTTTGGCAATCTTCAGAACAGCACGGATTTGGTTGAAATGTATTTCGGTTGATAATAAGATTGTTTAACTCACGGAATAATGACGATTGTGCAGAAGCTTACAACTGTACAAACAACCTTGATTTTTTATGGTCGCCTTGACTGTTTGAGAAGAAAGAACAAGTTTTGCTAGCTTGATAAAATCACGGTGTCTTTAAATCACACTTCGTCGATCTTTTTTATGCGAAATTATATGACTTGCTCTAGTTTCATTTCTGCTGTGGAAGATATAAGTTTTTTTGGTAGGTTTAAGGTTGAAATGCAAGAAGCATGATATACCTTTGGTCAAAAGTTCAAAAGGTTAAAATTTATCTTATATCATTTGTTCTGTTAAGAATTTTAGATAGTGCTATAGTCACGACAATGGTGTTTCTTATTTCAGGGAGCAGTGCAGTGTACAATACAACTCACTGCTGAGGAGGCATTTGATACTGTGATGCAGTACCGATGTTCTGAGCCGCCAATCGCTGTGCAGGGATCAACAACAGCCATATAAGGTTAATCATGCTCTTTGGCCTACAGAAAATTGCATGTTGGCTTTCTCAATATTCGATTTTTAGGATATCATTATGATTCATTTTGTTAATGAAGTTAAATTTGGAATTAATGAATTTTGCTTCTGATGTGTCCGTCATTATCCTCGATAACTTCACAGTTGATTTCAATTGGAAGATTTCTTCTATAGTCTAGACGAATAAAAAAACTTTTTTTTCTCATGTGTCTTTTATTGTTCAATTTCAGATAGAATGATGACGAAAGAGCTCACTTTATCAGTTAGGACTGCATTGTTGAAATATAAACATAATCAGTAACAAAAAGAATCAGGACTACTATCATTTCGCAAAGACGTTCCAAGGAAAAGTTTTCTTTTGGGGCTTTATTAATTGTATCATTCATTTTAGCTTATTTCTCAGATTGCAAGAATGCAACTAATTATATAATCTAAAATAGAAAATGCCCCTTTTTTCCGACCACAAAGTCAGTCTTACCTTTGCAGATAACTATGATGATTATGATAATTATGTTAAGTAATCTAAGGTGTGGACTTTGCAGGATTACTGCAATATTCACTTACAGACCCAAAAGATTTTTCTGGTTTTTGCGTTTATATAAACATGCGGCTCCTTTCTGTCCATTTTTTGCTTAAAAAGATGGGCACATTCCCCTTCTTGTCGTTGGAATGGGATCTTAGCAATGTATTTATGTCTTTTGTCTCATTTTGTTTCGTGGCTGAATCAAGACACCTTCTAATCCAAAATATGATAATTTTCTAACAATCAAATCTTTTAAAAGCCAAGCCAAGCAGATGCTCAAATATAAAAGTGATCATAGGTGTTGACCAAGGAGGGCTTTGGTGTCTAAGGCTGAAGATTAATTATTCTGGAAGGCCGGCAGCTAGCTTCCTGGATGTTTTCTTTCCTTTTCCTTCACCATCCAAATAGCATATCGGTCGATTTTAAGTTTATTTCCTGCCTCTTTAATCTTGAATCATGTAAAATAATATTCAGCCCCCGCTTTGTCTGTCATTAGGCACCAAATCCAAAGTCAAGGAATTGGTATAGTGTCTAAACGCCTCGTGTAAATTGGCCTCACCCAGCGAATAAGAAGCCATTTAAAATGACACCATCCTCTTTGGAGGAATTGAAGATTTCAAGGGGTAGCAAGAGGGCAGTATCTTACAGCTTTGGTGCCATTCTTTTTGGTGCTGGACCATGCGAAGAAAGAGGCTCTTCTGAATCGATTTAGTTCGTTTCTTCTAGCATCTTTTTGTTCCTTCCATTACACTAGTGCGCAAAGTACATTTGAACATAATAGTTACATTAGGAAGTGGGACCTAGCTGTCTTTTTCCGGAGATACCTAACTGTTGGTGTTTAGTTTTGTCCTTCAAAAGAGTTCACATTTATGGCGATGTGCCTCGGTGCAGGTGGAGGTTAATGTGAAGGTGCACGGGGGGGGAGGGGGGTGGGTGGTGCATGAGGGTGGAGCTTCAGTCATGTGTGGAATAGTGTGAGGAAAAAAGTGTGAAATAGTGGATCAGATCAATTAAATTTGGGCATGAGGTCATTTCCTTTTTCTTAATTTATCATACAAATCAACAGAAACAATCCATCTCGGTCATGGAAGGTAAAATGTTCTACCCCTGTTAAACTGGCTTTCCTCTTCCGCTAATCTGCGAAACTTCCATGATAGTTGTCAGTTTGATTTATCCATGCAAGTCTTCAAATCATTGCATACATAAAACCTTTGCGAAAGATGAACAAAAGTTAAAAATTCTTATCTAGACAACCACTCATATAAATAATTCAATACGTTTTTGCAAAAATTCTCAACCAGCTCGAAGGTGTGACGTTAGTAACAGGGTAGCCCTATGATTCCTGTTCAAACGTTACAGTTTTCACAACTCTAGAATTCCTACCAAATAAAGTGTAGTTTCCTAGGTTAATAGGGCACAGAACCGAGCGTTTATATTTGGAAAGATGACAAGTTTTCTATGAGCAAATCTGTCAATTGGAGAAGAAAATTGACGAATTGTACGTATTTTGCCATTTACTCTGCATTTTTTCATCAGTTTTTACTGTCGTGATTAAGCAATAACACAGAAAAGATCCTATTGAAACCGGTACACAGATGCTGAAATATAATTCAATTTACTTTTATTCTGTGGCATTGCATAACATTGTAACATTGCAATGGCAATCTATTTACCAAATTGGCACATTTTTTAATTTTTTTCTCTCTTATTCACATTCGGAATTCAATTTAGTCTTGATGAACTGCTCCATACCAAATTTTGGGAAGTGGACTAACTCCAAAGTCATTGCTTTTGTCAATACCTGTAATTAAGCCCGTGTCTACAACGATCGTGAAACGATCGTGAAGTATTTTGAGAAAATATTAAATAAAATATTGCGATGTTTTTCTTAAAATCGACTACTTTCTTTAAATGTATGAGCAGTAATTATTATAAAAGGTCTAAATGCATAAAAATGTTTTACATAATCTATAGCTTCATAATCTCTAAATGCTTTACATAATTCATTTAAACTTGTCTAAAGACTTAATGGTTCGTTTAAAACAACCCATTCATTGGGACTTATACATCTTTATGGAAGGCCTTTCCCGTTTTTTGGCTGATAATTGTGTAATTGCCAGATGTTCCCTTGTATATTTTTCACGAAGCAAAACAATGTTGCCAATTATTCACAGTTTGTAGGCTATTTGTTGATTTTAAGCTGCTAGTATGAAAGACACTTTCCACTAATGTTAGAGTCGTGTTATTGACATGTCATTATATCTCGGTCGAGAGCAACTGTAAAATCCTCTGGTGTAAATTGTTTTCTTTTCTTTCTTGTGCATAACTTCCATTCACTAACAAATGTGTTTCCTTTACCATTGGCAGATTGTCCAGCAATGCAATTTCAGCAAGCCATTATTTTTCTTACTGCGTTTGTTTGTGCTTCTGGGAGCATGTCGAAGCACAAAATTATTGGAAAGACGCTTCACAAAACAAAACTTGGGATTATTGGTAGGCAATCTTTAAATTACTGCCTTCGTAAAATTTGTACAGCTTATCTATGTTGTTTTTTAAATATGCAAGGGTATTTTTTCAACCAAAGGTTACTCAGTTTCTAATGACTATGTACAATCTCTGCCAAAGTCGCGGAACACTAACGTAGGTTTTCAAAGGCAAATTCAGCCACCCCCCTCTCCCCCTAGGAACAATGTTGATTTAATATAGAAAAATGAAAGGGGTTATGGAGAATGCTTTTTCTTGTGGCTTGTTTGATATTTTCCTTTAATTTCAACATTGTTTTGGGGGGAAAGGGGGACGGAAGTATTAGTATTCGGGAAAACAAAGAAAAGCACAGCTCAAAGTGTTGGGTGTTCCAAGTAATTTCGTCAGTGATTGTAGTAATCAACATCAATGGTAGGTGAAATAATTATTGCTATATATTGACATGTTTTTCTTTTTCAAGTTGAAGCAACATCACTGCCTTTAACACTTCAGTGTGACGGAAATTACAAAGATCTTCGAATTGGTGAGCTGATGATCAATGCAAAGAAGATGCCAAATCGATTGCAGAAACTTGCTAGAGAAGAATGCAAGAACACCTTGGTTGGTAACCATGCTCAGAACGGCATACAAGTAGGCCCAGGCTGCAAGATATGGTTTCATGGAGAGCTGTCTAAGGAAAACTTTGAAGTTATAATGGCTGCGTTTGAATGTCTAGACGAGGAGCCAAGCAAACCTAAAGGGCCAGTTTACGAGCTGAAGACCGGTATGAATTTCTTGGTGCAATTAAACTCTTGCATGACATAGGTACATTGTTAAGAATAAATAACGGGATATTTTACTCATTGTTGCATATTTGAAAGAGTACATATGTATCATGCACAGATGCACAAGAACTCTTGAATAGCAAGTCCATATAATGTTATATTTTGACATGACGTGCTTAGCATCAAAATCTGCTATAGGATAAACCGAGCGCTTTAGAGAAGGAGGACGAAAGAGTTTCAACTCAGGAGATCCAGCAAACACTTACAAACCTCTCGAGTAAAGAGAGAAATCAAGTAGAAACTAATAATCGTCAACTGCTTTGCTTTAGCTTCACCCAAAATATTCTAAAAAAAGGTTTCGCAAGCATAAATATTCTCTGCTTTCCTCTCAAATATCCTCTCAAAATTGATGATATTTGACTTCCCAGCTAGCAGAGGAAAGAGCACCTTTTTAAGACCTGCAAGAAAAGAGCAAGAGAATGGACCCTATCAAACCCCCCCAAACGTTGTGGAGATTATCTTGGTTTCAATACAACGACCAAGACTGAAACATTTTTGTCTTCTTGATTTAAAATTATCACTCTTTGGCTGCGAGATTTTACCATATGTTTATGTTTATTAACGCGGATTCTGCTGCTAAATAATCAAAATTAAATGTTTTTAAGGGTTCGCTCTTTAGCATTTACCACTCAACATGTTTGGGGTCTTTCTTTTAAATCCTAACTGCAGTATTGTACATGCTTCAAAATTTTTGTTGTTGTCATTTTTGCAGCAAAAGAAAACTTCAATCAGGCAATGACTCTATCAATAAGAAAAACGTTGAAAAGGCAGAATTTTGTCAGCAAAAACCAATTTATGATATTCTCGGCAGGTTTCGGTGTGCCGTATCTTCTGCAGCTTATTGAGTTTTTTTCTGCAAGTATTTCAGTGAAGTCAATTAAACAGTTTCCTACCGTGGCCTTTCCACTTTTTATATATGGATATATTTGAAGTTTTTTCTCAAGCAGCCATGCAGAGGGTTCCCAAAAAATTTGTTCATTTGAGATGTAAAGCGAAAGAGGCGATAATAAGGATTCACAATGTGACCTTTGGGGAGAAGCAGGTTGATCCAAGGAGGTTCCCTGAGCTGGAGAAGTTGACACTTTTAAAGACATGCTATGGCCAGATCTTGCAAGAAGTACGTCAAAAACGACGGTTCAAGGTAATTTTAAGACTTTTCTCTTATATTGTCGAAATTGAGCTTGCCCCCTTTTTTTATTTGTACTTATCATTTTAATCCTTTTTGCATTTGATAGTGAATCCAGTGCAGTCAAAGAACATCATAATGATGCTAGTACAATATTTAACGATACTATATTTCAATATTTTTTGTATCTTTTAGAAAAGAGTGGATTGCTTCATCAAGAATAAAGAAAACTATGGCGGAGCATTGAAAATAGCATACTCCTGTGAAGAATCGCCGTATAAGGGGCTTCAAAACTTGTAGACGGTAGACCCTATTAGCTTTGGCCTAAAAGCTTTCCGACAATAAACAAGCTGTTACCTGTATTCAAATATTGTATTTGGAGTTAGATTAAATGACATTTTCCCTTCCTTTATCGGACATTTTTGATAAATTCGAGTCCAAGTGCGAATTTAAATATTAGTTTTGTTCTAATGAAAAAGTGTTTAGAGCACGGGTTGTTTCTCACATTTATTGATCAAGAGGTAGGAGGAGATAAACAAACCGCGCAGTTTGGAGTTTTTCAGGATAATCAGTAAACAGAGTAGATTGATATACTTTAATTTCAGTGCTAGCAACATAGGATAAGAGATAACAAAGAATATATTATTATTGCTCCGGATGTATTTTAACCTCATTCCTTTAAAATTTTTTATTCGTTTCAAGGCAAAAACAAGTCCTTAATTCAAACTATTCAAGCGCTTCTCGGACAGTAATTCTAGAACTAAAAGACGTGTTCCAGAACTTTAGAAGATCTATCTGCTCAGACGTCTATCATATGCGAAATCTACATAAAATATGAAGTTTTTTCTCAGTTTTTTATTGATTTCAGTGTCAATAAAGCTTTAACGATTCTTGCTAAAAGCTTCTAGCGCCAAGCACTTTCATGAAAGTATTTTAAAAAGATCACATTTTTGCGGAGCTCTTCTTGATATTTCAAGAATCCGAGCCATTAGCCTTGAGTTGGATTGAAAATGCATCGATAGCCAATCGGATTTGTACTGCTTGTGTCACGATCATTTGAACAATGATACTTTTCGAATAAACAATAGTTTACTTGAAAATAGACAGCATGATGGCCTTTCGTTTATTTGATCAGGATCTCTGAGATTTAATTGGCAAATTCCTGCAAGCGAGGTTTGTGATTACCATGGGAACTATGTCTGATTTAATTCCGGGGGATGATGTCCTATCAAATCTCCAAGATCCCTAATCAAAACATATGAAAGTTTCCTTATCGCTTAAATTTTGAAAACACTCCACATTAAACGTTCATTAATAAGAAAAGATAACAAAGTTTCAGAAAATTTAATCGATGAAATTTTTTTATGGAAACATAAACATGAAAAATAGGTTTGCAACTTGGGTCAGCTTTTTAAACGATACTGGAGTGTTACATCAACTAAAATTTTTTATCACAATATGATTATATGGAATCGAGACAAATATTCGATAAAAAGTCTTTATTTTGCGCATGTTGAGTAGATGTTAAGAAACAGTTAATCAAAGTTAAAGCACATATTTGAGATTACTTCTAAAAAAATTTGTAATAACTTTACAACACGTAGAAGGAAAAATGAATGTCTGCAAAAAGCTTCTTGCTTTGTCACTTTCTCAATTAAGGTAACAGACTGGCAAACCAGTTAAAGTAATTTTCATTTTTCTCAAGTTACATGGACTACGTCTCAAGCATGCAGTAAAATACAACAAAATTTTTACAAGATGCATTCGTTTACTCCAACATCGAGAATGGCCTTAGGACACACACAATCGGTGTATGGTGTTATGAACAGTGTTAAGAGAGCCAAATCCTCAATATCGTGAATGAATGTGCTACAAGCATGAGTATCATTTACCACTTGAGTTTAAGCTTGAGCAAATTGAAATATTTCTGCATCTGATTTTTAACAACTAATGCAAGATAACAGCCTTAAAAGCGGCGATTTAACTGATATTGAAACAGCTTTCAGAGTCAAGTTATAATTATGTTGAAGAAACGTTTTCAAGAAATATCAACTTTTATCATTTTGTTTACTCGGTGGATTTCTATCAATTCTTGTAATTTTTCCAAATGGTTTGTAGCAAAATGATATAGCCGGATTTCCAAAGACTGGTTCAGCCATGTTTGTTGGTCCAATATTCTGCAACTTATTTTCCCTTGAGCAACGAAAGCACCTCTGAGGCTCCGATAACACGAGCCCGAGCTAGATTCCATTCCGGGTCAGGTCAACACGCTGCAGTAAAAAGATCATATTTCCACGAGCTCGGGTCAGCTAGTTCCTTTAGAGGGTTGACCGCACCCGGGTCAGCCTAACTTGTCAGCTCAAATTTAAAAATGACCCCAAATTGGCTACTCCGAAGTGTTTGTCGACCCCAGGTTTGGCTGACCCGACTTGATATGAGAAAACTTGATAAAAAGCCAACCTGTTTCAACGTGTCAGCTCTACTCTAGACAAGGGTTATCCTGCAAGGCGGTTTGACCCGGGTTGGCTGCTGTATTCATGTACAATCTCTGCCAAAACTCCTTGGAACACCTACGTATTTTGCTAATTTTTTGCTTTTTTCGTATATTTCCCGTGTTTCTAATAGACAAACCCCCCTCCCCCCTAAAACAATGTTGCTTACAATGCAGTTTATCACGGCGATCGGTAGAAAAAGGTTTGCCACAAAAGTATGTCTTAACTTAGCTGTGAGACAACATTGTTTGAAGGGGGGAGGGGAACGGATGCATGAAAACGTTGAAAATATCACAAGTGTTCCAAGAGTTTTGGCAGTGATTGTAAATGTTTGAAGAGATTTGACTGTACACGGCTGACCCTCTAAGGCGGGTAGCAGCCAACACGGGCTCGTGTAAACAAGGACTAAGTTCATCATATACAGAATAAATTTGATCTGGCAATGAGAATAACAAAACTGTCTCAAGGGTTTGCGTTTTAATAAATCGTCAAGGAAAGATTCCATCAATAGGATTAAGTAATTGGTTTATTGGTTTACTACAAGAAGGCATTTCAATGTTTGAATGTTTTTCTCTTCATGTGAAGCTAATGTAACACAAAACTAAGGTCAGGATGCAAAAGTTGACTCTTTTCATTTCTAATGCATTGTATGAAATCATTATGGTCCGATTGTCTCCAGAAATCAGAATTTATCAATCTCATTGGGATAAATTGAAACTACTGTCCTATTTGTTCAAAATAATTGAGTTTGTATTTTTTATTAATCAATCATGTACATTAATCAAGTATTTGTCAAATGACTTGTATCGTCAGGTGCTTTTTTATCTGTTCAGTAGATACTGAGGGAGGGAAAAGAAATGTCCTAAAATTCAAAAAAGTGACCTTGTCTGTCTTATTCTTCACAGTGCTGTGAGCTGCATGGTTTAAATGGCCAATACACAGCCAACCCTGCAAGTGTCACTCAAATTTCTGATTAACCGCATAATTGGACCATCAAAATGCTACCCCCGTTCAACCTACGTCATTTCATTAAAACAACAATAAATAACGACAATACCATAAATTTATTTCTAATTAAATGTCGGCATATATCTAATGCAAAGCAGCAGATGTCAATTTTTCAGGCTCGATCTACGGGTTACAGGTTAAAATCTGCATGTTGATCTGATCTTTGGCATTCAAGAGGTTTCTGCAGAATAGCTTGAAAGGTAAGTTAACCAATTTTCATTAATATTTTGATAAAATGAAGTATAAAAAAGCTCTTTCTTTGAAATTTCTCCTTTAAACTTTTATGAAGTTTTTGAAAATGATTACTAGGTCTTCTAAGTGTTCTAAATCGAAAATATTTGAATGAAACCTCATCAAATTTCTTTGCTAGTTTTGTACCACTAGGTTAAACGAGCAGCTCAGTTCATTATTACTTTTAAAATCCACACATTTTGTGTTTCAGTAACTGCTGAATTTTTAGAGGCTGAGTTGCGATGGAGTTGAAATTGTCCATCTTATTCTTTGTGGTCGCCCTCTTCGTATTGAATGGAGACACGACAGAAGGTAAGAAATTGAAGAAAGCCGAAAGTGGAAAAGAGAAGAAAGCAAAAATACTAAATGGAAACACTGGTTGGTAATTTTTTTATTTCTGTCTCGTTATTGTTTGATAATTAAATCTGAATTCAAACATAATTGTTCCATTTGTTGATTGATAGAAAAAAGCGTGTTGAATCTGATTTGACACACCCAATACTGACAGGTTTTTCCACAGATAGACGAGTACCTTGAGGAATCACATTCAACTATTCAAATGAAACTCTATTGCAAGATCAGTCACTTCATCAAAGAAAATATTTAATAAGAGAAATTTGCTTTTGTCAATCAAAAATGAAATTCTAAAAAACCTTTTCAGACAAAAATTGCTTTACTTCTTTTACTGTTCTTCTCTTTTCATTTCCCTAATTATCAGATCTAAAAAAGCTGGAATACAGATGTTAGGCATCTATATAGGACAATTGATTTCAAACAAAATTGCCTGAAATTTTGTATCACTTATGCAAGCGTTCAGTATTGGTTAAAATTTTATCACTTTACGGTGCTTAGATGCAAAAGTTAATTAATTTTATGCAAAAGTTAATTAGGCGAGGTTTTCTTCATCAAGGAATTCGCCACATTATGGCAACTAAACAGACAATTTTAGCTAGTGTGTAAAGCGGCGAAATCTCCCTTTCCGAGCTTGGATGTAAAAATGCTCAGTTTTTTGCTAATTTAAATTGAAACTCTGTCTTCAAAACTATATCGTTTTTGGAAAATGATCCTTGTCATCACGACCATAAAAATTAACAAAGTTAAATTCATTCTCTTGAAACAAGTGTCATTTGAGATTGCAAACTAAATCTTTTTTGTAGCTGAGGCCTCACGCCTTCCCATGATACTCGAGTGTGATCTGAGTTATCCCAACATTTTGCTTGGATCCATAACGATCGATGGTAAAGATATCGACAAAAGCTTGCAGAAAAAGGCAGAAAAGGAATGTATAGACAGCTTGAATTCAACTCCAAAAGCAGCCGACACGACAAGAACGTGTAGCATCTTGCTAGCTGATGCTAAAATGTTGGTTGGGAATGAAACTTTCAGGGCTATATACCAATGCAACATGGGAACGGTTGAGAACTGGGACAAGGGGAACAAAAGCAAAACTGGTATGTAGTGTGATAAAGTGCCCCGATTGTCCAGTGAGTCTGCATACAAAACAGTCACATGCTAATTATTTGAAGAAAAGCCAATCACATTAGATATCACGTGACTATTTCGGATTAAAAGGGCCCTTTCCTCTGAGCTAATTATACCATTTCCCTTACGTTCCCCCATTTAAAATGTACATTTTCGTTTCATCAACAAATATGCTGCAAATCTGGCAAAAACTTCGTAGCTGTAGTCATATGATTCCATGTTGCCTAACTAAAACCGCATTAAATGATCTAAAATGGCAGCTGCTAACCTCAAGTCGATCGATATTCTAAAACAATGCCTTCACCATCCTCAGTGCCTTAACAACAAGTACACGACACTTTTTATTAGGTACGCCTTCGTACTATAAACGTCCAAAAATATATTTTTTTCACTGTTCATTTCAAGTAGTGTTTACAGTGTTTATCAAAAGCAGACTGGGTAAGAAAATGGGAGTAATTTGAAAATCCTGAACATTTTTTTCCTCGACGTTTCAATACAAAGCTACTAGATGCTATTTTCCCTGCCAATTTTTAAAACAAAGTAACCTAGCCCTATCATAATAAACATGCGAACTTCTGTCAGAAATACAAAGCAAGCTGAGAATCTGATGCAAATAGTGAATTTTTCAATTTCGGTTGCTCAATTAACAATAACACCAATTGTTGTCCAGCATTAGACATTTAAAATGCAACATGGCTATAATTACGGGTCAGTTGCTTTACTTACTCAAATACTGACTTCCCCCATACAACCCGTAATTTGACGCATGATTCGATAGCAGAAAACAAAATTCTTTTATATAAACAAAATTAGTTAGTTCCATATTGATGAACTTTATAAACTAGAAAAAGCGATATAAGTCTACCTATATTAGTAAGCTTCTTGTAAATATCATTTTTCGCTTCAATAAAAAACTAGGGAGGGATAAGGTTTTGAGAAAATAATCCTTTTTCAAAACATTTTTTTGCAGATAAGTCTAAAACAGGCAAGGATATAAAAATGAAGTGCAAGGGTGATGAATACTTAAAGGTAGTTGGAATAACAATAAACGAAAGCGAGGTGGAACTTTCCAAGTTCCCAGAATTGCACCCGGAAGCTTTGGAATGGGAATGCAGCAAGCAAAAAGCAGATGAAATCAAAGCTGGCAAAAGCGTCAAGGTAGGGTTAGACGTAGGATTAAAGTTTAACAAATTAGATGTTATTGGTGCTTGATTTTTAATCATTTGTGTGATATTTAGTGGGGGGTGGGGAGTGGGGTAGGCTCTCTATGAAATGTACAACGAAATCCCGATATAATGAACTTTGAAGGGAATCAGAATTTGATTCGTTATATCGGGAGTTCATTGAACCGGGATGGAACGTTGGTTAGGTCTTTTTGCAGTTCATTTCGTTGTTTTGGCCTACCGTGGGCTTGTTTCGGCTATTCCTAACTACTGTGCATTTACCTCCAAAAAACCAAGCTGGGTTAGAATAACACTACTGGCTGGTCATTGAAAATGAAAATCTTAATGTTTTTCTTATAATTTGGAACAAAGAGATTGGCAAAGCTGGTATCATTTCACTTCTAGTTGACGGCTGAATGACGTCTCCGAATGACGTCATTATATCCGGGGTTTGTTGTACTGAGGGAATTTGTAAGGATTTTTCTAGGCAGAATCCAAGGGACCGAACATTTAATTCGTTATACCGGGAAGTTCGTTATATCCGGGGTTCGTTATATCGGGATTCCACTGTATTCTATGTATAATAAATCGGAATAGTCTAGACGTAGAGCGTGATCAACGTCCCAGAAATTTACAGATAACGAATTGTTCTACACCCCTATCTTTTTTGGTTTTTGCCTTAAAACCCATTTAAGATGTACAGTTTGAGCACAGGTAGATCTAAAAAATATGTGTGTTGGAGAAAAAAGGGAGTGAAAGAGCAAGGGCCTAAGTGCGTTATGAATGTCATGGGTGTTTCATACAAGTTTTTACAGAAATTGAACAATTCTTTTGGTACTAGAGAAAGGTGAAAACGTTTCTTGAGATAAAGCCCAGCAAATGTTATTTTAAAAATGGGAGCTAGATGATGTTGGACAGGGGCGAAATTAAGCAAAATAATTCAGGCAGGTACATCTTCAAAATCATGCGACAAAATTAGTGCCGTATCTTTAGACATCCAAATTTGTTAAACAATGCATATACTTGGGAAATTGTTAAAATTCGATCAGTTGGTTAAGAAACGTAACAAAAGCTTACAATGAATTAAACGCATTTGTTTTTTCAAACTTGTATGATAGACATGGTAAGCAATACCCTTTTGTTTCAATGTGGCCTAAATTCACGCAAAATTGTATGTATTTTTAACGTGGGTTTGTTGCTGTCAATGTGCATGAATTTCTAAAGGCATTTTTTGAACATTTGACAAGATTAGGATTTTGAACTTTTCAAAATAACCTAGGCCTAAAAGTAGATAAAGATTCATTTCACAAAAGAAATGACAATTGTAGATGAAAGCGAAAATGCAATATTTTGTAAATGCAAATGATAAAAAATACTTTTTGTAAATGACGAAGAAATGAAACCTTTTATAAAAGTTAAACTAACAGTATAGATTGAGCTTTGAGCTTTGATCTTGGATACCTAAAACATCGTTTTAATAACCCTTATTTTAATATCATCTCAAATTCTTTTTCAGGGCAACATTGATTGTAAAATTTACAACAAACCCACATATGGGGGTGAATTGGAAATACAATATAAGTGCAAGATTGATAATGGCCATTGAGTCAGAATCATGAATGGAAACTCTATGCATTTGTCACCACGCAAAGATTACTGTGTTTAGTTTGGTTTTTGTAATGTAAAGCGCACAATGTTGAATTTCATTGCACCTACAACTCACAATTGATGCATTCTATATTTATCTGATACAGCTGAAACAGTTGTGTATCACAAGGGGCGCCTCGCGTGGCCGTGGGGGCTCATTGAGCAGTATTACTGTTATTATTGCTTACTTGTAATCATCACAATCATAGACTTACTTGTAATTGGCTTTGTTTGTCAAACTTTTTCAGTTTACAAATTTACATAAAAAAAGAAAGGATAGAAAACTGACTCAACCAATTGAACAGATTCAATTCAAATGTAGCACGTACGATTGCTGCCATCCAAATAGCTTGGTTCCTTTTAGATTTCATGAGAATGTTGTGAATATGAAGTCAACAATAAGGGCCTTACACAAGAGACTCTCTGTAACAGGGACGCCGGAGCAAATTTTGGAATGGGCGAGGGAGGGAGGGAGGGAGGGAGGGAGAGAAGGAGGGAGGGAATTAGGGAAAGCTCAAAACAAGTTGGCAAACTTTTATGGCAGATTGCCAGCATTAAATTTGGTGACGTTACCTTGATAACATACTTCAGCAAAATAGTGGAGGGGCTACAGCCCCCTGAGATCCCCCCCGGCTCCAGCGTGCCTGTGTAAAGGATATAAGGTATTTTTATGTCATCAACGGTCTCACAGTTTTTAAAGTAAATCAACAAAAGTACGATTTATATGCCATTATTTAAAGGAATTTTGATTTAGTGGCTTTTGCATCCATCTATTCAAGATTTGTTTTAGCAAAGGCTTTTAGAAAATCCACTCGATTCTAAGAGAGCTTGGAACTGTGAAATTGTTAAAATTCCTCAAACAAGTCTGACATTACAGACAGGAATATTTTGCACATCTAAAAATCATAGTCTAGAGAATGTCAATATTCAAAGGCTTTGTTTTGCGATCAATAATAGTGCAATAATCAACATAAATCGAAAAGGAATAATGGCTACGTCAATTTTCTTGCATTCCATTTACAAATTTTTTTTCAAAACGTATACAGTGACAATATGTTAGCAAAGTATAGGTAAAGCACAGTATGCGGTGCAAATAAGGTAGAGTTTTGCAATATCAGAGGTGAAAGTTAATGATACTTTACCATCCTAGAATTAACTGATTAAGAGGTATACCTGAAACGTTGCACAATAATCAGCTAACCATATTGATTTTTATTCATTATTCATTCGACATCCAGCATGCTTAACTGCATTTATTATCATATAAAATTATGCAGATTAGTCAGGCAAGACTTCATAGCAGAAACGAAGAAGCTTAAGAGACAAGAAAGCACTCGCTTCAATGTTTTGAAAAGATGAATAATTCCCCTTATGAAAGGAATGCATCATTCAGAATCAAAGCAGCCTCTTTTTTAAAAAGGAGCATTTTTACCACCTTGGAGTTTGGCTATGCGTAATCAATAAGTAGAAGGTTGTTTTGTCTCACACAATCAAGCCATCCTGAGATAAAAATTCTATATTCCTCCTAAAGAAATTGTCACCAAGGAATAGGGAACAGAAATTCGCCTTTTTGAGAAGACAGGCTCGGGCAGGACGGAGAGATCCCGCCTTTTCACTGCAGGCCTCATTACCTGTTCCATAGAGTGATCTTAAAAGGATAAGTGAATAATAAATGGACTGATTTGACAAACTAGGCCATAGCAAAGCTTAAAAGAAAAGACACTATTTTTTTCGCTTGGACAGGAGTTCATTCTTTCTTGCATTTTCTTATTATTTCGCCTTTTCGTTCTAATTTAGGCTGAATTGGGAAAGCTTGTTAGTTTTTCTCGTATGCTTTCTTCTGTCAGCAATGTTTTAAAGCTATTTTTTAGGATTTGTTCTTAGTTTCACTGCAATCACAAAACAACGTAACGAAAACTTTGCACAAATTCACATTGAAATTGATAGCAGTTACTTACAAGCATAAGATTGCATCCAAAGGTACAAGAAAAATACCGAAGTTTGCTTAAAAAAGATCTACAATATATTACGTTTTAATTAAAATAGAGCTGTTGCCTAGGATACGGAGGTGAACCAAGCGGTTTTCGAATCAAGTGCCCTATACCCTAGAAAATGGAAGAGTAGTATTTGTTATAGTAACGCTGACAAGTTTACAGCTTCAAAATCTTTTCTAGAAATGAAAGAGAACGTTCTCTACAGAATTTAACTAAAAACATGAGATGAAACAAAAAGAAAAAAAGATAGCTTGAACAAAGATAAATGGCAAAATAGAAGGACAGGGGGTGGGGGGAAAGCGGGTGACACGGCAATCGATTCCATATATTTGTTTCATTAACAGCAACAAATCTTTTCCGACAGTCTGTTCTTAAAAATGCAAAACCATAATTTTTGGCTTGATGAGTTTTATTGTTATTGCTTCGAGAAAGGGCAACGAAAAATTTGATTACAATAGAGCCTCAGAGTGAAGAATGGTGAGAATGGGAGAGAGGCAGTTTTGGCGCGAAAATACTATCCCAGAATTCATTGTGTGTACATGCGATTCGAGGAAAGTCATTCAGGACCTCACTACCGAAGGGCTGTTTCATTAATTTGTTTGTAAATTTATCGCAATTATGGTGGACATTAACGACCAGTTCTTCAGAGATATTAGAACACAGTATTTGGATTTCCTTGATGATGATGTAAGTATATTTTTTATTAATACATTAATTAAATTTTGAATATTACTAATAGTATATCTACTAGGTATACCTGGCTTTATCGCCGTTCATTTTTTGTAGTTCTTATACGTGCATATTTCAGGCCTTTTGGTTTATAGCTTACTGCAATACCCCTTTATTTTTGAATATTTTAAAAGGCTTTTTTGAAGCCTTTTTTTAAAATTCACCATACACGTTGAAATTCCCTCCTTCCTTTTCGCCGTCTTGACAAAAAGATATAGGCCTATGCACGATTTTATCCTTTAATTTTCCAACTTGTTTTGAAAAAGAATTAGGACAAGGCAGTTGCCTTTTCCATCAGGTATTCGATTGCAAGAAACTGTAGGTTCAAACATTGCTTATGTTGTTTTGTAGACCGGTGGGCTAGTGGGAAGTAGTTGAGTTCTTTGATGATCCATTGAGCTGCCTTCGCATATCTATGCCTTAAAATGACCCAAATATTGAAAAAGAGGAATTGGCCTTTTGTGGCAGATATTTATATTCAGAGTTAGCAATAAAGTGTTAGCAGCAAGTTTTATTTTTATTTGCAAAATTTTTTTTATCTAAAAATTCATAATGCGTAGGTATATGTCAACAATTTCTGTACACCCAAGAAATTTGCCTTTCTTGATAATTATTCATTATCTTTTTAAAGGCTGATCAAGGAATCTACCATGCAAAAGTCAGAGACATGATTGAGAGGAATGACTTTCGTCTGATTGTAAACATGAATGACCTTAGAACAAAAAAAGAAGCTAGAGCCCTAAGGTACATCCTTTTGTATTGATATCTTAGAAAGTTTCTTCAAATAAATAATGCTGTAATTCCAAAGGCTTGCAAAGAAGCTGTCCTGCACATAAGCCACAACTGTTATACACTCTTCTTCTATAAGAATATCCATCATAAAATTTTTAAGAACATCATAATCATGTTGCTCAGCCTCAGCTCGCATCTTTGCACCTCATTGTTCACAGTTGTGCAATGTTCATAACAGAGAATCCCAGAACTGACTTATCTTGTTTTTCAGAAAGCATTGAATTCTATTTAAGATTGGCCAGGGTGCATTCTATGTTGATCCTACGCCGGACACTTTTTTTTGGCACTCATAAATTACGCCAAGTCTTGTGGACTTAAAAAAGGGTGCTTCTAGCAGCACGCCAACAGCCAACGTTTCTGGTCGAATATTTTTGGTGACCCTCTTTTTGAGAATCGTATAATAAAGGTTTGAGAGGAATGACAAGAGAACTACAACAAGATTTTCACTTAAAATTTCATAAATTAACGAAAACGATTTAAAGAATAGTTAGCTATATAAAAAATTAAAAGAACAAAACCTGGATTTCAAACAATTAATTTCAAAGATTTGGCAATACATTCATGCACAAACATATCTCACAGAGAAACAAAACAGTTGAGTTAATGAAATATAAGATATTAGTACGTAGCTCATTCATACCAGAGTACCTTTCAATTATCAGACAGGAAAGGACAACGGCCTTTATCACTGTCAATACGATCAATTACCTTTGATACAACATAATCCTTATTTCTACTGGAAAAAAACGTGTTCTGTCGGTGCGGCCGCAATTTATCATCTCCCTGAATGTAAGTTTTAATCCCATCCTTGATAATATTTTTGCAGTTTTGAAGTGACGGCAAGGCCCATTGCAGCTTCGTTCTTCTAGCCAGTGTTTCGTTCGATTGCCCTCCTGACTGTTGTTGCGATCTCATTGAGCTGTAAAAGCTTTCAGCTATTGCTTCAGGCCCTCCCTTAGCCAAAAGAATGTCAATTAGAGCGCAAGATGGCTTACTTGCAATGTGACAGATTTCTTCGTTGTTGTAAAATGATTGGTACATTCGCTGTTCATGTAAGCGCACTTTCATAACTTTTCCATTTGAAAATACCATTTTGAACTGACAATCTAATGTATTGCTTTCTTCTTCTTCAAACTCTTCAAGTGTTGCATTTTGAGTATGTAAATTAACATTATTTTGGCTTATAATAAACCATTCTGGGCACTTGCCATTCCAGATGCCTGCTTTAACAGCGTTTTTTATTCTGGACATGTAAAGATACGCCATTCTTGAATCGAAATTCATCCCTGATTCCTTCACATGTTTTAGCTCGCTAATCGTTGTTAATATGCGCTTACATTCTTCCACTCCATATACTTCATACTCACCTTCATCTACAAAATATTTTATTTCTTTATTAACTCTTTTTCCACAGTGAAGCTTAACAAGATTCGCCGCATCAAATACTTCAAATGTTGATGGTGATTTTTCAGCAAGCGATTCAATTCTAATATTCAAAGCTTCACATAGCTCTTTGGCCAAATTCTTGCGATCTTCTTCGATATCTTTACTGTCACGCAAATGCCACGTAAAGCGAGAATTTCCATCTGCATTTTTTCCATTATCTTTCGTTATGAGCCAACCTTGAAGTAATTCAACTCCTTTGAATTTTAAGCCAGGTATCAAAGAGTGTTCGACTTTTGACAGTCTAGGAAAGACCAGGGGGTTCCCTTTTACAGCTTTTAGCAGAATTTCTCTGACTTTAGGCCACCACATTTGTAGCTTCCAGATTGGAGTGTCAAGTGATTGGGCTCTCAGCATCAGATCAATAATAGGATCCATGATATCCAAAAAGGATAAAAGATCTGCCACAAAATCACTTCCAGCAATCATGTATTGCCACTCTTTGTCTTCATCCCTCCGTGGATGTAACAATTCAAATGCCTGCCAGTACGATTGGTAGCTCTGTTCAATTTTGAGCCACTGCTCATACGATGAACTCATGAAACGCTGAGTAGCATATGACACAGGTCGTCTCGCAGTACTGTCCACCATCTGCAAAAAGGCAAACCCCTTTCCATTTGCCAAAACATGATTGAACACATTACATCTCTTGATAAATCTACGGAAATGTTCTCCACCAGGTGAGTTAGCATCTCTTACTTCGGTAACAGCAAGGTTTAAAACATGGGCTGTATCCCATGTTATGGGGAGAGCGATCACTTTGTCTACATGCTCTGGGATCTCCAGTTGCCGAAAAAGTGAACTTCTGAATCCAGAAGCCTGATAAGGGCCATCAGCTGCCACACCACAAAGCCTTTCCAGAATTTGGGGGGAGAAATTATCAGAAATTGCTTCCAGAAGTTTTAATGCCAATATATCATATGAGGCTTCGGTAAATTCTGTATAAATGGCAGGAGCTGCAACAGGTATTGGGGAGGGTATCCCATTCTTATCTCTGGCGACAACCAATACTGCTTGGTTTGTTGTTCTGGCTGGTGTAGCTTTATCAATGGTAACCCAAAAGTGTGGAGGAAGGAATGTTGATGGGAGTGGCTGATTAAGGAATTCTGCCGTCTTCTTGTTCATCGACTTTTCCAGGCAGTACAGTATGTCATTAAACAGATTCCTGCCATGCCCAATGTTTCCAACATTTACAGAGCAATTTGCGAGTAAAGACACTAACACTTCAAAGTTTCTTGCTGCTGCACCAAGTTTCAAATCCACTATAGCCGCTTTAAATAAATGTGTTGCAGTTGTTGCATTTTCATTATTGGATTTCAAAGCCTGCTTGTATGCTTCCATGGCAATTTTATGTGTCTCTGAGCCGTTTCCTATGATACACATGTGGTCAATTAGCATATTTTTTTCCCGGTACCAAGTCCTATTATGACCTTTGATTAACAGACTCGCGATTTCCTTTTTCAAGAAAATTCCAGTTGCAAATGTTCCACTGCTTCTTGGATTAAGGATTCGCTGTGCTTGTAATGGAGTTAAATCGGCTAATGTTGGCTTAGCTTTCAGATGAAGCTCATAACATGGCAAACATCTCAGAACTGCACAACCACTTTTCTCATCATAGAACCACTGAATTGGCTTTGATGCCTCAACTAATTCATTGATATTGTTGGCTTTCTTCATTGCAGCAACTTGCCTTCCAGTCTCTGGGTCTTCAAAAACAAGCTGCTGTAAGCTTCTGTGCTTTGCTCCAATATCATCCACCTTTAAACTTAATTTATTTATCTCAGTCATAATGGCATCCATGTCTACGGTGCTGTTCTTCTTTGTTGCATCTAATTTTTCAGTTCTAAAAGATAAAAGTGTACTTTGAGTGTCCATTCCAGATATTTCTATCCCATCCAATGTTTCTTTGTCACTTGATTCTGTCATCAACTGAGGCTCGTTGCTGCATGCTTCCAGGGGTTCCAGGGGCTCTATGGGTGATAGGGCCTCCATGAATTTATTTTCCTCACTTTCAGTATTTGATTCAAGTTCATCAAGGTATTCTTCGTAGCTTGGCATAGCTAATTCTAGATTGTTTTTGCCTTGAGCTGCTGCAGTGCTATGTACCGGGTCTATTGAAATAATCTGTGATGAAGTTGTACTGGTGTTTCTTTCTTCAGGTGTAGTGACTTCTGATACGTTCTGTTTTGCATATTTTAACTTCAATGAACTCACTTCTTTTGCAGCTGTTGGAACAATTGTGCATAACTTCGATCCAGGAATGCTGTGCCATCTATTTTTATGACGTTGAACAGTTGAATGATCTGTTCTGCATACAGATGTATATCTTTCATCCCTTTTTCCTTTCAAGTGTAATTCAAAGCATTGCAAGCAAGTAAAGCTGCCCTTTTCTGACGAGATTTTTTGTCTCTTTTCAGGGATAACTTCTTTGCTACTACTTGCACATCCTTTCGCCCAGGACAAAATCACTTGTTTCTTTCCTATACTTTGCTGTCGACTTTGTTTCTGTTGATTATCTGAAAAACGTTAATTGTTATATTTTATTCATTTTATTCCCGCTATTCATTAAAAGCGATCCCTCTTTTCTTGGGCAATTCAAAAATAATATGAGCTAATTAGATTAAACCAAAATTAGTCTTTGCTTAGCCAGCATTTCATTCCTTACAAAAATGTGCGTGATTAAGAAGCCATAGAAGCATAGAAGTGAAGGTGTAAGAAACCAAATTAACCGAAACGTTTATTATGATTGCAAAATAGAGAAAAATCTAAAGCCCCCCTCCACATTAATTGGCCTTAGGGGCCATTCAAACAGTACTTGTGCTCAATATCCATCGATTTTGGATCTCCCTCCCTACTGTTTGCTTTTGTACGGTTTGGAGGTTGCCCCTCCCTCGAGCGTAAGTACGTACTTTTAAGTCATCAACTTCTCCCCTCTTGATTGTTTGAATCTATCACTTATTGCACTTGTTTAAAGTTTGCAAAATCAAGTACATACACAGGAAAATTAAAAACCTACCGTTTTCATCAATATCCATTTCAATCCATGTAATATTCTAACGGAACGCAAGTTCTTGGCTTTGCCTCTTCATTTAATATTGAGACCACATGACAAACGTTCGAAAATGTGACAGTACTTCCTTTTTGTGACAGTACTTCCGTTTGAAAGTGTCATCCCAACTTCTGTCGGGAAACGCCTTATCTATATTGACTCACCAGGGTGCATATAATACTCAGCATGCTCCTTGACATGATTTTTCCTTCTTTGTGTCGAAATACGGACCACAGAACCATGGACCACGGAATAACGAAACTAATATAGAAATCAAAGAAAACACCTCGCAGAGGAGATTAGTTAAGCATATCAAATCATATCTCGGCGATGCGCCACGCCGTCACGCCGTTTTCTGTCAACGATACGCCAATAATTCTAAACAAGTCATTGATATTCGGGGTTTTCTGTCGCTGACACGCTAAAAAACAGAATTTTTTTTTTCTACGCCAAGGCATTTTTCTTAGCCCACGCCGGACATATTCGGGCCTACCTACATGAAATGCACCCTGGAAGATTGGGCAATGATATGATAAACGATAAAACGATGAAAGAACTTAAAAGCTAAGAATACTCTCGGAATATATTCCAGCTCAACACTAAAATTTCTTAAGAACATTGAAGCTGGAAAATTTTTATTGTATTCTTATAGAAACAATAGTGCACAAGGCTTGTGAAATGAGAGGAGAAGCTTTGAGGGAGCATAAAAATATTTATTTTGGTTTTATTTTAGAGTATCTGTTCCACAAAAGCTGTGTTATGTTTATAATTCTTTATGTGAAGTTGCTAGATTTTCATATTCCTTTGCATAATCTCTTGTTTTGTGTAAATTCTTTTTCTAGGCAACCTAACTTTCCCCAAATATGTTATGATGCAAATCAATTTAAAATGACATACATTTGTTCAATTTGTTAATTGCAGACTCCTCAGCGAATCATTTGAAGAACTTCTAGCCTTTCAGGTATATATATTCCTTGGCAAAATATTTCTTGGCAAATTCAATATGATTATTGAATAAGATTCTGGTTATCAAACTAAACTAAGGAAGATTTTAATTTGCCTGTTTGCTTTTGGCAGAATTCAATCATTGAAAAAATTCAAAAAAAACAACATTAAGAATATTACTAGGAAATATGTTTAAATCATTTTCAATTTGATTAAATTCATAAAGATTTAAGCTTGCTTATATTGACTCATATTTGAGTCTATAGAAGATTGCTGTAGCCATATTTATTCTCTAACAATAAAAGATTAGTCAAACAATCACACTTCAAAATGTATGACTTTCAAATGGCTTAAAAATGACACATCTCTCTATGAATGCAGGTAAATTCATAGACATCATCGTGATACAATCTGCCATATACTATGCTGATTCCTTTGGTCCTTTTTTGTTCTAGGTTTGTAATTAATTATGAATAACAACATTAGGAAGATCTTAGTTTGAACATTTATGATTTTTGATTTGCTTCTAGGATGCGTTGAAGCAGTCTGTGAGTTCCATTGATACCGACTATTCAAAAAAGCATGATGAGTTTTTTGTTGGTCTTGAAGGAAGGTAATTCATTTGAAGAAATCCATCCTTTTTTGTTTCATACAAAAGAATGTCCTCTGTATCAAAGCTAAAAGTTTTTAGATATTTCCATAAAGGACTCTCATAAAAACCATCATTGTAATTTCTTGCATCCTTTTCTGTAAGTCCTTGAATAAGCCCAAGGTGTATATTTGAAAGAATGAATATTTGGATGGTTCCTTATTTGGAGGGGGTATTTGAGGGGCTTATTTTCAAAAAATATTTTGAGGTAGAGGCTAATTGAAGGGGGGGGGGGGAATGAGAGCTTGCAATATGTTGTTCTGCTTTCGAAACTTTTAATTATTGAAAACATCAAAAAATTGAAACACGTGGAGCTGTATGTATTGAAACACTTGTGTTAAACTTATGTAATCTAGCAGCAAAATAGGCTGATAATAATGTCAATGCTATTGATATTTAATCGATTTATATATTGATATAAAACCTGTCTGTGGAAAATCTCTCCATTTGGATGAATTTCCTTTATTTCTCTGTAAGTCTTGCAAAGATAAATTTATTCTTTGCCCCTCTCAAGTATAATGCTCGAGATATCTTGAAAATAATGTTATTTACATGTAACCATTAAAAATTTAATCTTGATTTTTTTAGAATTATTTAAATGTTAGCTTAGCTCATTAAAGAACATTTTATCAGCTTTTAGATGTAATCTTTAAAAATAGATACTTGGCGTTTGATGGGAGGTTTCTTTCATTGATTTAGCTTTGGTTCTAAACATGTAACACCAAGAAGTTTATCAGCAAGGTTCCTTGGGAACATGGTTTGCTGTGAAGGGATAGTGACCAAGAGTATGAATTATTTTCTTTCTCTTTCTTGTTCCATTTATGACTCATAGACTACCATTGTTGTCATCTAATGTCCTTTGTTTGAGATCTTATTCCCATCGTTGCAATATAGCATGCATCTTTACTGTTCTTTGTCTTCAATTCTCATTGTATTTAACCAGTAAACAGGTTGAATGGCATTTATTTGTTGACAAGTGGACTGATGATTTACAGCCCATCTCCATCCCTTCTTTCAAAGAGCAAGCAGGGTCTTCTTGGAATGTGGGTCTGCGTGTCAGTAGTAGACATACCAGAGCTAAAAATTCACTAAAATTTTCCTTTGTTAACAGGTTCATTGATTCGACCAAAAATTGTAAGAAGTGTTCACTACTGTCCAAACACAAACAAAACAATGGAAAGGAGGTATCAAGATATGACTTCTCTAAATGCATTTCCAAGTGTATCATCTTATCCAACAAAGGACGATGATGGAAACCCACTAGAAACTGAGTATGGTCTCTCTGTTTACAAGGATCATCAGTCATTCACAATACAGGTTTGCTTACCTCTCATTTGGTAAATAGTACATCATATTATGGCTAAATAAAATGTTTAAAATGATTTAAGGACAAAGAAACCATCAGTGTGCAAGCTCTTGACAGAATGTCCGGCTCTTTCATATTGGAATATCATCTCCCAATATCATCATATCATTCCATCTTGCTATTCATATAAAGTCGAATTCATCACTAGTAGCAATACCTCAACATCTATTTGGTTTAATGCTTTTACTACTGTGTTGAGGTTACATCAATAACACAGTGTTTCCGGAGTATAAACATTTTTTTCTCTAAATTCAGTTAACACTCATGTCCATGTTGCTTTAATGATGTTATAGAATAATAAATTCAGCTCAAGGTATTTAGATTCAATATCCCTTTTTATCAGGAAATGCCTGAAAAGGCTCCAGCAGGACAGCTCCCAAGATCAGTAGACATCATTTCTGACAACGATCTGTGTGATTTGTGCAAGGTTGGTCTCCTAACATTGAGGATATAGCTCTGTTTGTTAGCTTTTAATGTATTTTTGTCTAACTATCTCATTTTTTTAGCAGCTACAATTGTTTGAATTCATGACATAAGCATTAAAGTCGGAACTGCATTTTATGCCTCAAACGATACCCTTGGCTAAGAACATCAAAAGCTTCACATGCTGCTCATCATTTGTCCTTGGAGACAAATTAAACATATTTGCATTATTTAACCAAACATTGGAGTTTTAATTCCTATGGCACAGTTTCATGCTGAACACAGTCAGAAATCTAAATTTGACTTTCATGATACCTTCAACATGTAACAATGCTGATTAGTAAATGTTTTGATCATGATGTTTTTATCCCAATGTGGGTGTAGAATTCCTTTTACAAGTTCCTCATACAAAGAATGTTTTTGGTCCCCTTTGTAACATGCTTGGAAAGGTCTATGCAAAATTTTTCCACCATTCTTGTTGATTGCAATGTTTCCAGCTGTCATGCCCTTGAAAACATTGCAGTTAAAGCAACTTTTTACGTCATGCTCTTGAAATCATTTCTCAATTTTGATCCATTTTTATTTTTTTCATAGCCTGGAGATCGTGTTCAAGTTATTGGTACATATAGATGCTTGCCATCAAAAAAGGGTGGGTTTACCTCTGGAACTTTCAGGTGAGCTGTTTTTCATGTATCTTGACACAGAAAATTCTGATCATTGATGTACGTAGTTAAAAAATCTTGCCTTTAGTTGTGAAGCAGGCAGATAAGGCATGTTAGCAAGAATTTGTGTTTTGTATTTTATTTTGTTTTTTATCCCAGTTGTAATTTCATTAAATCTTCTATCTCTGGATATGTTAATTATCCAGCTCTCAAATTTTTACAAAGACCATGCTCATTGAAGATAATAATGTGTGATCAATCATCTTAAAATTCTGCTTATGAACTGAGTTCAGTTTTTTTTTGCTTAACCAGAAGTTCTTTTCTAGGACTGTGCTGATTGCGAATAACATTAAAACGATGAGTAAAGAAGTTTCCCCAACCTTCTCCTCCAGTGACTTAGCTAAGATCAAGAAATTTAGCAGAAGCAAATCAATTGTTAGTAAAGTGTTTGTGATAACTCTATCGATTTTGTATTGGTAATTTTTGTTGACACCAAAACGTGTTCCCTTTGTTGCTTTAATCAACTTACTTCACTTGAAAATGAGTCGTCTTTAAGTAGCTGTCAAATTCATGTTTTGTTTGAAATACTTCCTCTGTTAATTTTAGTATTTATTGTTAAAGGGATTTAACAGTCTTAAAATTATTTCATGTGAATGCACTTTATATATACAAACATTTCAATACATTTATTCTGGCAGTTCTTTCTTTACTCTTCTTTTAAAGCGTAATTGTTTCTGCATTTTCACAGGATGTATTTGAAGTATTAGCAAGGTCACTGGCACCATCAATTCATGGCCATGATTACATCAAAAGAGCCATTTTGTGTTTACTTCTTGGTGGATCAGAAAAGATCCTTGAGAATGGAACGCGATTGAGAGGGCAAGTATTTCTATCAAATTTTCTTGTCGTGATGTGTAAAATATTTTTGCAGATATTATTTTCAAAAACCGGATTCTTTTTTGATTGTGCTTGAATTGTTATTTTATTCATTTTTGATTGTTATTTAATTCAAAATTGATGACCTTACAGGGATATAAACATCCTCATGGTTGGCGATCCATCAACCGCCAAGTCACAATTGCTGAGGTACCTTTTCACATAATTGCTACAAAAGCACTAGTTTTTTGTATTCAATAGTTTTCTTTTCAACAACAGATGCAATCAAATCCACCAGCTATGTGTTTCTTTCTTTGTGCTTTGTTACAATGTCCTGTAGTTTTAACTGAGGCTGATGATCAGCGATAACTTAAATTTCATTGTACAACTCTGTTGTCAACTTCAGAACAAATGATTTAGTTAGACACCTTGCTCGATTCTAGTGAACTGTCAGCTGGAACTTGTTAATGCTAAATAATTTGATATTTGGCAAGAAACAAAAGAGGCTCAGAACCTCCTGATCCTGAGAAATTTGGTCAAGTTTTTTTGTTAAGCTTGTGTTTGTCTTAGAAATCTTATAGCATTGTTTTATCTTCTTTTTTAAGGTATGTTCTACATACAGCTCCACGTGCTATTCCTACAACTGGTCGGGGGTCCTCAGGTGTTGGTTTGACGGCTGCTGTCACCACAGAACAAGAGACAGGTTAGTCCAAAATTGTTGCTTATTTTTCCCAGCTTTTGCAAATACATTTTTTATTGTTTTCTGGATTTTACTGTCAGATGATGATAAAAGGCTTTTATTTTAAGCAAGAGCATAGAAAGGTATTGATATACACTAATATACATTAGCATTTATTGATATACATTGAAGTGAACTAGCATACATTGAAATACATTGACATACATTAACATACATTGATATACATTTGCATACATTAGCACACATTGAAATTTATTAATGAATATCGATATACAAAAAATCCTATTAATTTACATTGATTTACATCAATAACTGCATTGCCTTCATTTTTCCTGAAGAAGGTTCCCCATATCTATAATTTCCCTCAGACAACTAACATCGCTCCATACCTTCCCTGTTAAACAAGGCCCCAAATGCAGAAAGGTATAACAAAGGGTACGGCCAATCTCTATCCTATGTCATATTTTTGTGTAGAAAGCACCTTCATGTTATGAATGAAACAAAAACTCTGAAGAATATTCAAAGATTGACAAGAGTTTTAAGAAATGATTCCTGCCTAATTTAAGGTGAAAGAAGACTGGAAGCAGGTGCAATGGTGTTAGCTGATCGTGGCGTCGTCTGCATTGATGAATTTGACAAGGTAATCTATCATTTCTTTCCTATGACCCTTTTCTAGACTATTTTTTCAACATTTCTTCAAGAGAGTGTCCTTCATGGGTGATATGTTTATAACTTACAATTGATACTGATTCACTGATCACTAATCATGATCCGATACAGAAATTCCTGTTTGTCAATCAGAAATGAAAATCGATCGATAACAGTAGTTTTTAGTTACTTCTTTTTGTTAATAATGATTGTTTGTTTTGTCTAATAGATGAGTGATCTTGATCGAACCGCCATCCACGAGGTTATGGAACAGGGTCGAGTAACAATAGCAAAAGCTGGGATACATGCAAAGTTGAACGCAAGATGCAGTGTTCTGGCAGCTGCAAATCCAGTTTATGGCAGAGTAGGTATCGCCTTGATATTAACTAAGGATCTCTCAGTGAGTTTGAAGTCAACACATAAGCCAGAATCCAAAAAGCGATCATTTAGGGTCTTCAGGCGTTGAATGATTCTCTATCAAAATTCTACATGCTTTCAACCTTTTTGTTCAGTTCAAATAGGTGGTCTGTTTTTGTGAAGTCATGGAGCTCCGTAACTAGTCTTTTTCTTACTAGGAGACACTTTGTTGACATTTTACCATACTGTAGTGAATATTTCTTTTCAACAGTATGATCAGTATAAAACGCCAATGGACAACATTGGGATGCAAGATTCACTACTTTCCCGTTTCGATCTTCTATTTATTGTTCTTGATCAGGTGAGTGGAAATAACTTTTTGAACAAACCAGCAGTTGCGTACTACTTCGTAGCTCCCACTTGCCCCTCTACGTCCTAAATGTGACTTGAAACTATTTCGCTTGTACAGGAAGCCATTGCTATCTGTTAACTTTCTATCAATCTCACTCTTTTAGATGGACCCGGAATCCGACAAGAAGATCTCTGATCACGTGCTTAGAATCCACCGATATAGAACCCCAGGGGAGCAAGATGGAGATCGTAAGTAACCATATTTGAAGTGATTGAATAAATCTTGAATGCTACGAGCATAGATTCGTACATTAATACAGCAGTCAAGGTAACAGAGTCAAATGAAAATGACTCCATATAGGATCTTTAGAGAAAAGGCGCTTACCATATCACAACATTTTATAAAAGTCGTAAATTTAAGGAGTTGAATCTTTTTTCATTTTATTATTTTTCATTATCTTATTTTTTGTTATTTCATTCTTATTTTAGCCTATTTTAACAATTGTTTATAATTCCCTGCGTTCATTTTATTTCTAAATTTAAATCGCTCCTAAGTTGTCTTCTGCTGTTTCAATAAACAAATCGAGTCAAAATGTTATTAAATTTTCTTTATGTATGATTTATGGAAACGCGTGTAATTGATATTATCAAAAACAGATAAGGATTAAAATATAGCAAAGATCATTTAATTTCATGTGTCAGCTATCATGTGTTATCAATTGTTTTGTCTTGATAAAAATAATTTTGTCATTCTCAGCACTGCCATTTGGAGGAAATGCTGACATTCTGACGACGGGAGATCTTCGAGGGGAAGACGAAGATGAGGACACTCAAGTGTATGCTAAAAAGGACGCACAGTTATATGGCAAGCAAAAGGACAAGAAGGACAAATTTGTCTCCATTCACTTTATGAAGAAGTACATTCACTTGGCAAAGGCCATCAGGGTATTTTTCATTTTTAATCAGAGGATTTAATCTCATTCTTACTCTTTTGTAGACGTTTTCAAAACCGTCTGAGTTTTAGATGCTACCTGACAGTATCCTAAGTTTTAAATTCCTGACGGGATAAAAGGTGAATTGCAAATGGAAGTTTATACTGTTGAATACATTCCCTACCTTCTGGTGGTTTTACCATAAAACACTTGTGACAATATTGTGTTATTATGTTCTATAAAAAGGCAAGTCACTTTCAATTTAAGTTAACTTACTTTAAATCGAAATTATTTCGATGTATAATACGCTGACCTACATTGTTTTTTATGTGCAACTTTGCCAACCAGTTATTTAATCAAAGAGGGATTAACATCATCTCTCCAAATCAATACACCAACCCAACCCTACAACCCTACAATGTGTTCAAAACCCTGCTGTTTACTTCGTTGGATATGATTTGTTGATTTGTTGTGTTTTCAGCCGGCACTGACCCAGGAAGCAGCGGACCTGATTTCACAATCCTATTCTGATCTACGAGATCAAGATACGTCTGGGAGTGACCAACAGAAGGTTAGTGACACTGAATGATATCATTGTGTCATTGAAAAGGCGTTTCACACGAAAACATTCATTTGATGAAATGCATAAGTTGATATTCTACCAACTTATTTTTCTTCCCTCATATTTCCAAAGAACTATGGTCATTTTTGTAAGATGATTGATGCTCCATACGATCACAATGTCCATCTTAATCATGTTATTTTTCAATTTGGTTTCTTTTAATTGCCGTGTGTTTCTCTTCGTTATCTTAAGGCAGTGAAAATCATGGATCTTATAATGTAAAAAATAGCCAATCCAGTGGTGGAAAATTGGTCAAATATTGAGATGGGGGGGAGGGGGCAAGCCTTTTGTTTTGATAAGATGAGGTCATATTTCTCCATTGTTTTATTATAATTATAATTATACCCAATATTAATTATACCCAAAAATATCGGGTTGACCGCCCCCTCGCCCCCTCGCCACTGGACAAATCAATGTGTTTAAGCAATGTAAGTAGTTGTCAATATGTATCCTATTGAACAAAAGAATATATATTTTTAAAAATCTCTAATTAGGACTAATTCCATTAATGCTAACACTTTTAAGATAAAATTTCAATTTATAACGAGCTTGACTTTTTTCTAGACCATGCCAGTCACAGCCCGTTCCCTAGAGACAATGATACGTCTTGCGACTGCCCATGCAAAGGCACGAATGAGCAAAAAAATAACAGAGGTAAATTCATTTTGTAGCTTGGTAGTTTGGACTGAAGCAGCCCTAAAGTCATTTATAATAGGCGAAGGGGCTTTGGCAAAAAGTTCAAAGAAGCGGCTTTTGCACGGGGCAATTAGTGCACAGACTGATGAATATTGACTTCATTAAGGCCTAGAGAAAAACGTAAACAAGTTTGCTAAAACTGCACGTGGTTTCTAAATCTTTAATAGGAACTGCAATTTTTGAATGTTTATGACCCTTTTAAGGTTGAGAGTTTTTGATGTCATGAAGATATGGCTGCTAGTGCCCAGTGATTTCTTTAGGCATAAAACACGTATACAATCCTTTTGATAATTTGATAGATTGTAAAATATAGCAAGGTTGTACTCTTAAGCATTGTTTATGTCTCGTTTTAGACGGATGCAGAAGCGGCAATTGAAATGGTGCAATTCGCCTACTTCCACAAGGTTGGTATGCGTTAGATACGTGCCCTTTTAACAGAGTTCTTATAATACTGGGTAAATATCAGGTCATTGCGATTAAAGGTACATTATGTTATAGAACTATCAAACAAACAGTGGTTCTTGTTTTACTTGCATGTTTAATATGTTGCATTTTTAAGGTCGAGAAAAAAGAAAAAAGAAGGCGGAAAAAGGATGTTGAAGACGAAGAAGAAGATGAAGCAATCGAAGAAGACACAGAAGAAGGAGAATCTCAAAGGTTTATTTGTTTTTCTTTTTTTTAGGAAAGGAAATATTTCTGCCCGATCTCGTTTCTCCCTAGTGTCATTGGAAACCCTATTTTATAGTCTTTCATGCCATTGTCTTGAATTATATGTCAATCAACAAGTGGCCAATCAATAAAGGCGATCTCACACGTAAGCGTATTGATTGGTCGATAGTTGATTGACAAATGACTTACGCCACTCTAGTTAGTATCGTTACTTCTCTATCTTGCAATAAAATATTTTTTAGCCAAAGGAAGTCTCCCAAGAGGCCAAAAAGATCAAAGAAAGCTGCTCTGAAAGAAGGCGATGAAGGATACGATCCATTTGATTTTGACGAAGAAGAGGAAGACAGCGCACCAGGTATATAAATTTTCTTTTTATTGTCTTTGTTTTCGGTGAAAAGCACAGATAGAGACAGTAAGTTCGAAATATAACGATGCGGAAAAAATTACCAGTGTAATAGATAAGAAACTCTCAAGCGGCCGCCTCGTAGTTGAGAAGTTTGATCCGCGTTGTTTTACCGGAAAGGTGATAATAGAAGATTTTGAAACCGGGCACTGTCGGTTACTACATCAGCATGCTGTCAAAACATGTGTGCATTTTTTGCATTGCATTATATTTGCATTAGATAATGCAACACATTGAAGGCCCTCGGTCCCGATGCATTTTACTGGCCATTTAAATTTCTCATTGTTTGGACCTATTTTTACATATCAAATCGGCTGATTCTCAATGTTTTCTTAATCATGCGCATTGCAATGCCTATTGTTAACTCTGAACCGCTGACCGACAGGACATATTGCTTTTGAGGCCTGCAGATTTTGGTACTAGTTCTCTGACTCCTATGGAATTAAGACAGAAATATTGAAATGTGTTTTGAACATCGAGTGTTACCTACGACTGTACGTCAAAAACTTAGTTATAATGTGCTCACGATTAATATTAAAGCTTCCAGTCACAGAATACTGCAAGGAGCCCCAGAGACATTTTGTATTGTAATGTAAATTTTCTACTTTAGTTACTGCAAAACGAACACGATCTACAAGCAAAGTGGATGATTCAATGGACACAGAAGACAGCGAACGGGTCACAGGATCGGAATCTTCACAAAAAGTTACTGGTGAAAGGTAAGTGTTTACCTAACGCGCCTCGCTGGTTATGCAAGGTTTTAATTCAAGTAAATGATAGCTAGTAATGCAGTGCCTTTTAAAGAATTTCTTTAGAATTCCTAAGAGTAGCATTCAAGTTTGCTTAATTTATCTCATCAATTTCCAGTGTATTAGTTTATATTTTAATTGTTGGAAATCACTCTGGGATCTTCTTTTCATTAAGATGTTCTTCGCAAGCATTAACACTTCAAACTAGACCTCAAACATGTCGTATTTCTTCTTCTTAATAATAGAACAGCCAGTGACGAATTCCCAAAAACCTATCTCTAAAAGGCACAAGTGAAAATATTTTGTTATTATCGTTCCTATTTTGCTAAAAAGCTCTTTTGCTTTGCAAAAAAGTAGAAGGGGCAGTCCCCCGTCCCCGGGTTTGAAGACCCTATGTGACTGGTAAAAATGACTATATACAACGGCCAAAGTTGATGAGAGCCAGAAGGGGTGTTGGATATGGAAGTATACGATTTCACCAAAAATACGCCATCTTCTTCGTAGGCTGTCGCTATTTAAAGCCTCGTTACAAAGTGTCTTTGCGGCTCACCACGCTCAGTCTCTTGACATGGATACGGTCATAGCGGCCTTGCACAAAGACTATCCCGATGCCAAATTCAGTACTGGAGAAATCCAAGCAGCTTTGGATCGGATGCAGGACGAAAACCAAGTGATGGTATCGGATCGACAGATCTTCTTGATTTGATTCAAACAAGAACTTGCTAGAAGACGATGAATTAGGTCTTCTCTTTTTTTAATATAAACAGCAAATATGCAGAATTAGTACTAAGTTCTTTATCTTATAAAGGAATTCTTTGAAAATGAAGGGAGTTTTGGTAATTTTGGAGGAATTACTTTTTTCTTTGTATCCTGAAATGCTGTTCAAGTCAGAAGATCGTTAAAGAATGAAAGGCACTCCGTGACACAAATTCCCTTTCTCTCCACATTTATTTTTCAATGGTATTGGTTCAATGAATATGATATATAGATTTTTATCATCGCTGATGTTGATTCTTTCACCAAATTTGACGAAAAGTCAAAAATAGAAAACTAGAAAAGCCGATGACGCATTGTAGGTCGATACGATTCATAATCTTAGTCAATAAGCAATCTTTGTCATATCTTTATACCAGCCAGTCTCCTCCAGCATTCATGTCCCTCCCTTCAGACTTCATAATCTTATCGTGTTTGAACTGACAATTTTTTTGAACAAAACAAAACCTATAGGCTTACCAAATTGACTGTTAATTCAATGGAAAAATTCAAAGGTATCGATTTTTGATGGTTTCTGTCCAATCAATAAAGCTTCTTTTGGCTTTGCATTCACCAAGAAAACCCACCTCTTTTGACGTTATGGGAAAAATACTGGCCTAAAGTTTTGAAGGAAAAATTTATAGCCTGAACCAAGACAGAGTAATCTAAACTTCAATGATCCAAAATCTATATTTTCTTAAAAAATATTGTCCGTATCAAAACCCACAGTCTACAGGACGCAAAGCGCGGGAAAAGGACACGCGAGTCTTCCTCAGAACTGCAGGAATAAAAACTGGAAAATAAAGTACAGCAAAACCAAGAAAATATCACAGAAAAAGGTGATCGTTTGTTGAAATTTGCTTTAAAATTCATATTTGCAGAGATGGTTACCTAAAGTCTAACAGATATAATCCTAGGAAATAATTTTTAGGTTATGGTATAAGGCAAATTATTTACAAAAGCAATTTATACTTTTATACAAAAAATGGAAAATATTAACATTATTGCTACCAATGGAAAATATAATAACATAATTATCGTTGAAAATAATCAATAAAATGAATCTACGTATGATAAATTGTTTCAAAGAGAAAGTATTAGTTTTACTTATAAAGTCAATGATAACAACTGCTAAGGTGCAAATGAATAAACTAAAATTTAGAAAAGACTTTGATAGGACCATTACGAGGGCGCATATAGAATTTGGTGTGCGGAGATGTGAAAATGTAGAAATAACTTCAAGTTTTTGTAATAAGGTGTAGAATAACAGTCATTAGGCGACAGTAAGTTTGGTTTTTCCGTTAAAATGGCAGGTCTGATTCTAGAATTGACCCTTGACTGTATATGTCTAGCCAAAATGAGGCCTGCCAACACCAAGTAGAGGTCAACGGCGGATACGAAAGATGCTTTTGCATCTGCATTTAGCCCAGTACAATACTTATACAATCTAGCAAAATGAAGGACACCCTAGCGAAGAAGGAGAGAGATGCCGGCCTAGAATCATCTCAGAAAGCTTCTTCTCTTATAAAGGAACCATAAACCCTTTAATATATCTAGATACAGGCGCAATTCATTATTTTGCTAATTTTTTGCCATCATTAACAGAGAGCATAGAAAGTGAATTCAAAAGCTTGTATCACATCAGCAGGGAAAGTAGCATTTCGTCATAGAACAACCATTAAGACAACATATAGTGACTGGGCGCACTTACATGGTCGGCTCTTCCTACCCTCTAGAAGCAGAACTATTTTGATAATCTCAATTGACACTGACGTATATTTCAGTGAATTAACTTGAAAATGCACGTACGGGGATTGTAGGGAAACGTAACTCTTAATGAGACAATTTTGGACTTTATGATCATTTGAGGTCGACAAAACACCAACAACCTACAAACACAAATGAATGGGAGACTAAAATCAATGGCACTAGAATAAAATCCTGGTTAAAGATATTTCAATAAAATTTTAAATCTTTGGGCTAGAAAAAATTGTTCTATGATAAGCTAGTGTTGTCAAGGGGGCATCGAAAAATGGTTGGTGGTGTTGATCAAGCAAATGGCATTCTTCAAAGTTTGTACACTGGTACTCCAAACAGAAGGGGCACAGAGCCTATGTATATTCTAGTGCCTTATTGAAAAAGATTGAACCAATACATCTTCATACATATATTTATATTACTTGGTAATCTGGGAAGATTTCAGATAAAATAATACACGATGAAACAGAAGATGATAGTAACATAGTCTGAATTAATTTCACCTGATGGCATCGCCTCCAGTTTCATTGTCTTTATCTTCTTGTGACAGAGGTTCTTCACTCTTCACCAGTTTAACTTCCAGGTTGCCAGCCTCTTCCTTGTTTTCCTTATCCTCTTTGCTTCGTTCTTCCGGATCCGGGGACTTTGTCGTGAGCAACTCGATAAGCTTAAGGCTTTTGGTCGGACTGGCGCGGGACGCGGCTCCATGAATGTAAACAAACGGATGAGAGCCGACGTGGGAATATTTCCCAATCTGGAATTGAAAAAAACAGACAGTTAGGAAAGTAAACAAATATGCTTTCACAAAATGTGACAGAAGATAGTTTAGTGACAGTCAAAATGCAGGACTATTTGACGATATCACAAAACTGCTACTTGGTTGTATTGCGCCTAAAAATCATCCAAACTGGGCGATTCAGGAGATGACCTAACAAGAGAGTTCAGTGACTTGCTTTAGGCAAAGTGCAGTAAAAGTTTCAAATATTGACCTGGAAATTTAAAGAACCATTTAAGAGATGTAATTATAATGGCGATGAACCAATGACTGAGATGGAATAATGAATTATATCCAAAACTGAACTAAAGTAAGTCTTGATAAACCGATTTTGAAAGATGGTGAATCTTATATGCAAAAAGATCACAGAAAATGGAGTGAAGATCAAAATCTCGTGCATTTTTAAGCCAGAGTATTGTGTTAGAATATATAGTTCTGCTGTTCTCTCGGGTCAGTTGACTTTCAAGGATCAACTTCAAAGGCGATAAGCCCGTTTTGCCTTTAAACGGATACCTAAGTTAATGTGGCCCTGAGAAACCAACAGGTCAACATTAAATGTCTCAAACAACAAAAACCGTGATAAGAAATGTGTGGTTGAAATTATTCTTAAAATCATGAGAGAACATCAAGCTTTTTGCACATGATGGTGGTAGCCTAGGCTTGACCCCGAGCCACGCTGAATTCTATTCACACCAGCAGATGTGGACAACTTTCTTGTTCTTTGTTACCTGTTCTGAAGTTGAATTCTTTTGGCGGTTCTTTATTTTGTTGGAGATTCGTTTATTAGCATACATTGTTTTAAAATCTTGTTTTTGGTGAATTAAAAACGATGGAAACCAAATGATTCTCCGACAGCCACCCGGATCAAAAAAATAAATTTAGGCCTATTATCGTAAAAGCACTTAAACCTAGCCTGTGCACGAAGCCAATTCCTGTCTCCATTCAGATATCATTAGCACAAAAGAAATCAGCGAATTAAAGCTTCTTTGACCATTATTGCTACCCAGAGAAGGGAGGTCTAGCATTGGGTAATGGCAGATCTTCACGTCCCAAATATGAAAAAACCAAAAAATAGGCCATGTACATCTCACATTCACAAATAATTTCCATCACTGTGATTCTTGCAAACGCATGGCTAACTATAAAGACAATTTACTTTGTGATGTGCTTTTCACTTTGGGGCTTGTAGCAAGAGAGCCCGATGACCTTAGATGCAATGCAAAGCCATCGTAATACGGTTTAAACGCAGAAAACCCTGTGGTTGATTTGTATTCGATCCGATTTTGCAGTGCAGTCACTTTAAAGATATTGAACGTACTGAGAAAGGCAGGTCGCTGTGACATGGAGCGTGGAAACATAAGCTACCTTATGAATCAGCTAAACCTGTTGGCGTGTTCATCTATGACGCATTCTTCAAATCTCAAGCAAAAAGGCTCTGACACCTTAGGTGTTGCAAAGTACGTTGGCTTAAGTTTCAAATATGTTCTGCTTCGGTTAATGCTTAGTAGTAGACAATAAATAAATATTCACATAGTTACTTGAAACATTTTCACAGCTCAACAAGACTCATAGCAAAACAGGAATACCCATAAATAAACACCATTTTCGACGTAATAAAGCAACATAGTCTGGCAAAAGGAAGTTTAAATTCATGATCGCAAGGCAGCATGGGGATCTTCTGACAGCTTCTGTACTTATTTCAAGATTGAGGAGTTACTAGTTTTCTTGACGATGGGGGTTACAAAGTTAAAATATCTGTAGATGAACCAGCAACTTTATTGAACAGAGACAATTAACTTGCAATGGTTAGAAACAAATTTAAGATACACCAGAATAATGTACTGTTTCTAAAATGTCATGGCAATTTTCCAGCCAAAACCACATTCTTCCTTGATGTAAGACAGAGGTTGGCAGCATAATTCTTTTGGCTCGGCTTGGACTTCCCATTTCCCTTTTCAAGGTCAGAACAACCCGCCGGTGGTCGTGAGAGACTGGAATAATTTCAACTGGAACATGGGTCTCAGCCAACAAAAACAACTGATATGGTTAGATAGGATATGAATACTATAAGAACGACTTCAGATGGTTCATCCTTTTCGGTTAGTTCGAGCACAGGAGAGCCCGTTAATCGGGAAACTGTTTTATGAGCTGAGACAGTGTCACTGGAGCAAATGGCCTATTGTCCTTCCTCTGGTACTTTTATACTCTGTCGCTATGCGTCTTTTCCACCTTATTTACATTCCCCGAGACATTCAAAAGTTATTGAAAACAAGATAAGCACACACCCGAAGATTTCCGTCTAAACATGAATTAAAAACACAGGACCCAGCTGAGTGTATTTGCATCTTTCCTTCTGGAGGTAAAATTTCAGATAATACTGGCAAAGCGATTTAAAAATCAGATAATTCTTACTTTTGAACAAAGCCCAGTGTGTGCCCCTTTCTACTTGTTGTCTTTCTAAGTCTTATTTGAGTTAAACTAATAGAAACGCGCAAAATGCCTAGGAAACAACGAGAACAAGAAAAAACTATACGATTTTTGTTATGGTGAATGGGAAACTCTCCGCCAGGCCAAAGGCTTTGTTTAATGGCCATTTGACTCTGCAAAATATGTTCATATGAGATACATTACCCATATATGCGATCTTTAGAAAAAGGAAAACTAACAGTGATATGTCAGTTTTAATTCAAAAATTGGACAGAATAAACGGATGGAATTAAACATTTAGTAGAAATAAAAAAAAATTCCAGATAATTTCATATAGTGTGGCTAACATGTTGGGGTGACAAATAAGTGGAAATTGTTATATGAGGAGACAAATATCCTTTAGAAGTAAGAAGCACAGTTTAATTCTATGTGAACAGCTAGGGAGAAAATGGAAGGTACTGCTTTGAGGTAATTTGATCCAATCCATGGAAATATCAGAAATCCGCGTTGATTTAATCAGCAAAGCAACATTGTACGAAAACCTCCGCTTCACAATAAACAAAAGAAGGAAAAGTAAATTTACATTTTACAAGGTTTTATTGAGTGACAAAAGCCAAAGAAAAAACAGGAGATACTAAATTCGTTTTACAGAGTAAATGTTTGCTTCGTATCCATAATACAGCTGGCACGCAATAAAAGACAAGTAAAATTGAATTGATTCAAATTGAAATTGTATTTGTATTGCATAGATCGGAAACAAAATTATTCAAAACAAACAAAGTAGGAAAACATGGTGTCAACGAATGAAGAAGAAATTGGGATTTAAGAAAACTAACCTGATCTTCACTAACATCATCTCTGACAACAATTTTCCTGCTTCTTCCATATGAAGAAGATCCCCCAACTGTTTGCATTACTCTCGGTTCTGCTTTCGATGACAGCAAACGATAGAAGAGCGACGCTGATGTTGTTCGTGGCAGGTCTGACGGCATACTTGCTGACGATAGTTCCCTCAGCAATTTATGCACAACGTAATGCTCTTCGCGTTCAAAGTAAAACTTTGGTTTCTTCGCCTGCACCTCACAATCGTCTGTCTGATCACATTTTCGCTTTCCGAGAACTCCTTTGTATTCGTCTGAACCTACGCACATTCTGTTCTTTGACTCGCCCCTTTGTTTTGATTTCGAGATGCTATTGCCTTCGCTGCCCTTCTTCAGGTCTTCCTGTGCATCAACTAGTTTTGATCTCATGCGATTGGTTCTGTCCTTAGAGCAAGGTTTAAAATAAGGACGTGAGGTTTCGCCTAACATGACCTCAGCTCCAGGCCGCATATTGTCCGATGTGAAGTTTTGTCGATATGTAGAATACGGATTGGCGCCATGGTATGTCTGCAGGTCACTCAAAAAGCTATGTTGATGCGGATAATTATTCCGGGCGTAAGCACCCAGACTCGGATTCGACCCGAAGTGTCCAACTGGATTCGATAATCCATACAAATCTCCGAATCGGTAATCTTGTCCGGGTGGTGAATCTAAACTGAACGTTTGGAAATCATTTGATAAGATATAATCTTCATGCATGTACTGTTGATCTGACCTCGGAGAACGTTTTCTGCGCTGGCTTGGGTCAAGGTATTGAGGTCGGCTCCAACGCGAACACGATATATCGTTCATGGCGCCAACAGAAGGCAGAGAAATTGGCCCGAACTCATTAGTTAGAAATGCATCCGTAGAATTGGGCGACTTGCAGTCCTGCAAGAGACGCATTAAATTAAGAAGTTGCTCTAATGGCAATGTCAAAGACAAAATCTTAAAATCAAAATAATTTTAGAACCTAGAACAATGTGTACTTCGATTTTAAAATATGGACAATTTTGCAACTGTTGACGTAGCAAAGCGCGATTAAAAAACAAATAAAGAATTTGACAATAATTTGTTCTTAAATTAACAAGATTTTGCCGAGTATCCAATTTGAGGTGAGTTATAACGTTATATAGATTAAGCGAACAGCTAACAAGATGACCGAAGAACTGTACGGTGCAAATGAAAGAAAAAAGGGATTGATTAATATGGGCAGGACAACAGCTGCAACATCATGACCTTTGCAAGCGTGCTGCAAAAAAGGATATATCCCAAACGGAATTTGTATCGGTTTTCGGCAAAAAGAAAAAAAGGGGAAGTAATAGAAGAAGGAAGAAAAAGAAAGAAGAAATACTGAAGCTAAATAATAATAAAATCAATAAAAAAAGCTTTGAATCGTCGCTCTTTCGTTGTAATACCTTAGGAAACTATACAACAAAACCTGATTCAAAATAAATGTGTCAAATCAGAAGTTAAATCATATTTTGCTCCTGAAAGAGACATAAAAGAGGGCAAATGTTGAATCCAACTTTGATACAGTAGGAAATGAAAATGAAACAAAAATTCACTGGAAAAAAATAACTTGGCAATATTAAAAAATTATTCATAATTTAAGCAAACATTGTCTTTAGGCCTCAGAGAAACTTTTACGAAGACAATCTGAGCATTGTTCCTTGTTTTAGCTCTTCTTTTAGAAAATTTTTGATAAAAATATGCTTAGTTTCAAGAGGCGTTAAATTTTAACCTCACGGATAACATTTTAACCTTAGTATCATTTACGGATAACAACATTTCAATCCAAAAAATTTCTTGTCTTATTTGATCATTGCTTAGAAGATTTTTCGACCTTTGATTATAAGCGCAAAAAAGTGCTTCACCAAATAAAAATTAAAAATTACTTTTATGAATAGTGTTTCTTAAATAAAATGAAAAACGGCAAGGCTCGTTATACGTGGCTTCAAGTCGAAAATCAATCATTCAAAGAATTAGTTGAAAACGTTTCTCACCTAAGTAAGCTTGTGAGAGCACAGAGTTAATTTCTTGAATAATATCAGAAACTGATTTTAACTGTCTAGACATAACGGGTTGGCTTATTCAAATCGAGACGGTTTTCACTCACTGTGTGTACATGGTGGCAAATAATTAATTAAAAGAAACGGTCAAGCCATTGAAAACAAGACTGATTAGAACGGAGAAGTTGAAGTTTCCAGAACATTTTTTTACGCTGGACTAACATGTGGCAATCCGGACTCGGACGCGTATTTTACCGGTGAGAAAAATACGTGAAACTATCTCTTAGAGAAAACGGCGATACACAGTGTGGATTTAACAACTTATAACGAATTTGAACTATATGAAGACGAACCATGTTTGAATCAAAGCGTTTAGCATCGGAGCAAACATTTTAGCGACTGGAAATAAAGTCGTTGGCAGTGGGGAGGCGTGAGCCATCAAGACAAAGACAGTGCCAAACAACAAAAAATACTGGTTCTTTAGCATTTCTACTGCCAGGAAAAGTAAGATGGGTAAAATATATAGAGGTAATTCAATGATGTCTTTTTCACAGAATAAGATAATGTGAGTATTTCCAGCACCAAATGATCAATCATAGAAGAGAAATAATATGCCAAAGCTGGCTTAAATATCCCGAACTTTATACAGGTCGCATTAATCTTCTGAGGATCCAGGAAGCATCAAACATGCTACTATTACTAGAAAAGACAGCTTTGACACTAATAAGTACTTATATAAACGGCTGTTCTACAAGAAGACACACTTGAGCCATTTTTGTTCATGAGTTCTCAGAAAAAGAAATCACACTGCCTTTGGTCATGAAATTTTATGCTCCCTTTGAAGCTCACAAGTATATTTATTGCTCTACGTTGCCAGGAATATCTAAAATACAAATACTTTCTTAAGAATTGCGAAAGATTCAAAATAAGGTTAGAAAGGTTTCTGAAACGCAACATAATACGGTAAATTTTGCGTTTATAGCCAGAATAACACATTTAAAGGCAAAATAGAAGCATTTAAAAGAAGATAGCATTAAAAAGGCGTTTAAGGCTATGAAAAGCCTAGGGGTTAAAGGGTATGAAAACATGGGATTTACATTTTTGTGAGCAGATTCTTAAAACAAATATTCTTGTTAGCTTTGCGTGGCTTTGGGGAAAGTTTAAATTTCGGTGTGAAAGGTCAGCACACAAATACCTGTCTGGTTATATTGTCACACTGCAGTGTCAGTGTTGCTATGCTGGTATCATATAAACCTCGTCGCAGAGACAAATACATGAACAGCTTTGAAAATCAAGTCAATTTGTCTCTTTGAAGATATGCCGACTACTGACCAGTGGCGCAACGGACCCGTATGGGGCCCTAAGGAAAAACTGAGGTTGGGTACTATTTACGGACTGCAAGAATGTCCCATCCAAGGGTGTATATAATGTCAAATACAATTAGCAAGATGTATGAAAACAAGTTAACTCGTTAACTAGCGGGAGCTGAGTTAGAAAAACCCTAATTGTAGAGTTTTTAAAAATGAGTTGAATTGAAGCGTCAAAAACATAGATATATAAATAATTTGGGGCCCCTTTTGTTCGGGAGTCCTTAGGCATTGAGCCAAGGTGCTCTAAACTGTATACCGTTATTGCTACTGACCCCACACTTTGAGAGATTTATTCAAATCACGAAAAGGACTAGTAGGGCTACTCCTAATTGCTCTAGAACCTTGAATCCAAAGCCACATAATCATATTCGTTTTTATAGTTGATTCTATCTGGTTTTCACATCTTTAAACGTTGAGATACTGGAAATTTGAAACAGGTAGGCCTGAAAACCCAACATGATAATTACTTCAAACCTACATTTCGGTTTCACAGCTCCTCCAGGAAGATCTAAATCATATGGCCAATGGTTTGCAAGGAAAACTTAATTATTTTTCAGAGACAAGAAGAATCTGGTTAATAAGCCGTCAAAAAGAGTAAATTTGGTCATCACGGCACAAACTTGAGGGCTTGTCATAAGACAATGGCAGAGCTCAAGCCACGCTCAATCACAGTAAACTCGAGCCTCAAAGGGAACAACGAAACAGTTCGACTTGGCGAATGTTTGAGTTAGCTGTTTATTTGGAGGCAAAAGAAATCAAATATAGAGCTGAAGCCACGTTCAATACTGATAAAAACAAAAGTGTGAATTTAACTAAAGTGAATATGAAAAAATAATGAAACAAATTGCAGCTGATTTGGAAAGAATCTAAAACGACAAAATTAAGGTCACAAACAAAGCAGCACAAATCATATTACAATATCACAAACGCAAAATAATAAAACACAACATAGCACAACATAAACAAAATATTACATAACAAAACAAAATATTACATAACAAAACAAAATATAAATAATTAAAATAACATAACATAACATAACATAACATAACATAACATAACATAACATAACATAACATAACATAACATAACATACCATAACATAACAACACATAACATAACATAACATAACATAACATAACATAACATAACATAACATAACATAACATAACATAACATAACATAACATAACATAACATAACATAACATAACATAACATAAAATATCATATTAAATAATATAACATACTTTACAATATAAAATAACAAATTATCAAATATAATTTAAAGGTTATGATATAATACTTTTGCTGTCAAAACATCAAACATGAAATTACATAAGGATGAAACGTTATCCACTCGCTAATTCATACTACAAAAATTTTCTCGTTATTCATTTCTTTTTTTGTTAGTACCATTACTGTTATGATTTTATTATATCTTTTTAATAACAGTCCAAGCTAGATTAATTCAAATTTTTCTTGGATCGTGTAAAGCAAAGTATTATCATAAAATCTATTTGTACAACTCTAGCATCATAAAAGTTGAGTTGAATTGAACAAAAATAATAGATCACAATTTGAAATGAATTGTGACAAATAGTGCAATGGTATTTGGAACAAAAAGCTCGATAATTTGCAAAATATATTGATTTTCAGCTGCATTCACGTCAAGATCTGAAACATTAGTAGAATTATTTAAGAGCAGAATTTTTTTTACAATATGTAGCAGGAGCAAAAGGTGCTTATGAAATGGGAAGATAAAATGGAATGATTATTTTTCTAAATCTATCTTACTGTAGAAGCAACTTATGTTGAGTGACCAACTGAAACACTATTGAAATTCTCTGTACATCTTTTCACTAATGCGAAGGAAATTTAACAAATTGGCCATTTCGACACAAAGTAAGTATTCATTTTCTGAACCAGAATTAAGTACACACACGAACTAACAATCACAAAAAAATTATCAAAGCAATTCAACTAAATATAATTTGGAGTCGCCACACACTCAGAAGTGCAATGCACTTCAATTGGAAAGGTGGCTGACCTGCTTTCGCAAGAATTATACGATCAGTCGAAGTGCAATCACTTCATTAAAATCGCTGGCTATGACATACAGCAGCCACAGAGAAATCGCGTAAGTAACTTGCTAATGAACAATGAAATCTTTGGAATACAAACATAGCAGCCAGATACGAGGGTTGGTTTGAGAAAGCTGCGAGTGTTGCAAACAGATTTATTAATACAGTTACATGTGTTTTACCACATTACGGGAGACTAATCCACAGAAAATATCCCTTTTGACCTGACCTACGTGATTCAAAATAGCACAGAAATCGAAGAAACGCTTTCTAATGCAGTCTTTGACAATGTTAGCTGACTAGCAGCAAATTAGCAACTAAAATCGAGAAGAGTTTTACTCAATCGAATGAAGATTTGATTAGATACAGAGCTATTTATTGAATCAAAGCATGAAAAAAAGATGTTGGTTATTGTGTCGAAAACTCG